GGTCCCGCCAGTTGCTCAAACGGTTTAACCAGTCCTCACTCCAAAGGATTCTTTTTTTCTGACAAAAAATGTTCACTGTAGAGCAAGCTTACAACCCCCAAAACAATCGCCTCTGGGGTAAAAAGCTTTCCTCTTTCAATCTCACCAGCGATATGTCCATCGAATTCAAAAACCAGGTCGTGTGATGGTGTGGGGTGATGTTTGTGTTTCTGGCAAAACTCCCCTGCATTTTGTGCAGCTTCAGGCCAAGATCAATACCAGCTACTATCAAGAGTGTGTTGAAGAAGGTGCTACTCCCCTGGACTCAGGAACATTTCAAATCCCAGCTTTGGACATTCCAGCAGGACTCAGCACCAGCTCACAAAGCAAAATCCACCATCGACTTCTGCAGAACTCACTTTCCAGACTTGATTTCCCAAGAATGGCCTGCTAGTAGTCCTGATTTGAATCCATTGGATTATAGTGTGTGGTCCTACTTGCAGACCAAGGTCTGCTGCAAGCCACACAAGAGTATCAATAGCTTGAAGCTTGATCTGCTGAAGGAATGGAATGAATAGTCGATTGATCAGTTGTGAAGAACCGTAAATGATTTCCCAAAACGTCTGAAGCAGGTTATTGCCTCAAATGTTGATATTTTTGAAACATAAAAACATGATTGGTCTAGTTTTTTTGTGATCTTTGCACTGGTCAAATCAGAAATTAAATTGGTCTTCATCAGAGAATGCTACACTTGATTAAAGGTGTCCAAGGACTTTTGAGTCACCCTGTACATGAAAAAAATGTTGCTTTTCGCTTTGTGCAGACTCATCCCATTTCTCATAGGTATTTCGTGCAAATTTCCATGCTGTACGGTCAATCAGCGCACTCTCTTTCGGATGCAAAAAATCGTGTGCAGATATATGCCTTCCTTACCGAGTTATAATTGTTCAAAGTCGTTCAGTGGCTTTTGACTCACCCTGTATATACAGGGTGGCCCAAAAAATAAGTTCGGAACTTTACATGCTTGCAGACGGTGTACCACATGAGTTATCGACAGGAAATTTACAGGTTTTTACATGCAATGTTTGCAGGTAATGTAGCAAAATTTAACAGAAATTGGTTGTAAACTACGTGGGGAACAATTTTTCTCCCGCGCGATGTCAAAAGAGCGAGTGTGCAAAGGAACACGACTGAACTCAATGAAAGAACTGCTTGATGGGTCCTCCCCGGATGAGTCCTCCATGAATGTGTCCTCCTTGGATCTCGGGCCGAAGCAGCACGCCAGCAAACGCTCTGAGACACTAGCTCAGTTGGCGAATTGTACGGAAAGAGCTATTACTCATGTTCAGAGAGAGGGATTTCATTGAAATTTTCCTCAAGCCACCTACCTATATTGGGTATGACACACTGAACATTTCAAGACGATGCTTAGCATGGTGTCCCCTCTGTAGCCGCACAAAGTTAGGAACTTCTTTTGGGTCACCCGCTGTATTCGTTTTTCAACTAGATGTAAGTGTTGGGAAAGGGACCGCGTTATATCAGGTCACGGACCAGGAAAGGGATATACCGACCCAGAATAGTTCAGAGGGATACACATGCCCACTATACGGAATGGAACTCAGGATTTTCCAAATGTTATGATGACACCTGCACCTTTTCTCTTAGTCTTTTTGACACTGGCTGTAAGTAACCTATTCTTAAGTCCAAGATCTCTTCGTCCATTTCAGTTTCGCAGGAAAAAATAGCATTGGCTTTAGGGTCTAGTACTTGGGTATGCACCTTCAAGGTCACCTTGGACGCTGCTGGAAAGGATTTATAAACATCTATCATCATTGAATCAACCTCATTTCTTCAAATTTTATTTATGCAGCATCTAGTCATCATGTATTTCACTTTCGTAAATCTTACTTAGGTTCTGATGGGTAATGGCAGTGCCGGTTCATTCCAATCTATCAGCAATGTATCTCATAAGAATTCCTCCATGCAGTAGTTTCCGCTGCTCAAGTAGAACTTTTTGATTTCTTCAGTCACACAAATTTCCTTCTACCTTGAGAGAAATCTCAACCCTCTTTTTAACCTTTGCTTCACTACAGGAGGGTCTAGTTTTCACTATGAACAGTTCCAAACAACGTAATAGCATTGCGGACATGCATTTTTATTCCATTGTCTCATTTCCGGCGATGTCAGAACTTCCACAACTTCGTACAGGTTTTTATTATTCAGAACTTGATTACTTTCTCCGCTCCAAAAAAAGAAGAAACACGATCCATGGAACCTTGGACCTCATCTTTCCCAGAGCACTCGATCCTCCCTTCCGAAAATCCTGCATACTCCACCACATTGACTCGTGTTGCAGGTAGTTAAATCCAACGAGATAGTACTGCTTCACGAAAATTTAATGTGTTCGGGAGCTACCTCCCAAATATGGATCAGTAACGCATCGTGTCATGCAAGTTTCAATCGGTTTCATCAGTCTCCCAGGAACTGAAGTCGTCGTCCTCATCTTCCTCATCATCGTCTTTATTCCCACGGAATGGGAGGGCAGTAGAATGGTGCGATGCACAGTACAAGCCCTATCACATGAGTCAGATAGCAATGCCAATCACAACTGAGAACACCAGAGGCAAGAAATCAAACTAGGTCAGCAACAAGTGAGGCAACAACACTGGGTCAAAATAATTGACAGAAACGCTGCTCAAGGAGAATATAATGCAGACATCACGCTGCCACGCTAGAAATTGTCAAATGAAGTTTTTTTTTTCACATCTTCGGCAATGCTAAAATAGAGAACTAAGATACTTAGCTGTCCTACATCTTTTAATACTGAAAGCCAAGGTGGATTGTTCCTGAACATTGACCCCAAGATACCCACACTCCAAAAAGTTCGAAGCACAATACAATTTGGTGCGAAAGGCTACCAGCCGAAAGAGGCTCAAGGCCCAAGAACGTGTCTTTGCTCTGGTATCCCAGCAGACCCTCCACTCATGGTAAGACTAGAACTCTTGGTTACCACAATCCCTGTGAGAGAACCTGGCCTCAGTGACCCCCAGGGATATGCCACCCAAATTCTTCCAACAGTTCCTTATTTGTTTCATGTATATAGAAATGAAGGCCTTGTGCTCAGGAGTTCCCTCCCTAAACACACCTGATATTGCTGGTATTGAACCATGGGACCCAGGCTTACTACCAAACTAGCCACCTTGTCGTCCCATTAATATTTAAATAAAAAAATTCATAAGATATATAAGTGAGCCAAAAACTTCCAACCCTTCCAAGCCAATCCTCAAAACAGAATGTTCAACAGCATCAAGCACTCAGGATATGATGGAGATAGAATTACAGACTTCTATTAAAAATTACTAGAAGAGTATTGAATGAGCAGTCTGCTTCATAGGAGGGGCCCATTGGACTTGAGTTTATGTGATAGAAGTGCAGGCCAGTCAATATTTGGATACAGCAAGGTAATTGGAATATAAAATATAATGAACAATGCTCAAGTCCAGGGATGAATCTTTTATCGAAAAGTATACCAATTGAGTCCTAATCATAATCCAACTGGACAGCTTTTTTTTAATTATAGATTTTTATGAGAGCAACAGAGCCATGATGCCTGCACCTTAAATGCAGCAACAGAACAAAGGTTTGGCATATAATCAGCCCAAATCAAATTCCTGAATTTGAGAAGAGAAATTAACACAAGCTGAAAATTTCGCATCATAGACCAACAAACAGTGACTGAACTATGGGAAAGGGAAAATATACTCAGTGATCAATGAAGTCCATGTCATCCACAGAAGCACAAGGGCAAAGCTTAGACAAGTGCCAAAATAATTGGTTGGATATATTTGATGATGGGCTGGGAGGTTAGAAGTGCAGGATGTCAATCAAATTTGTCTAACTGAAGCAGAGGTAGCCTTGGGATTGGCATTTCTTATTTAAATTTCCCCTTTTCACAAATCAGTAAAATGGATGGCATCATTGGGTGTTCCTCTTCTGGTTCACCAACTTATTGGAAACCCAATCTTACTGCTAGGGAGATGTTTTGTTCCTTTTGCTTTTGCTTTCAACCCCATGTTTGAGTGAATGCACTTTAACACTCATCAATCATGTCCATTGCAAGGGGTGTGCCAATGGAGTTTCCTGTGATGAATTCCAACAATGAACTCCCTGAATTGTCTTTCAGCAAAGGAAGATCAAAGTTACTGGGTGCAACCTAGTATAGTAGTACAAGTAGTGGCCCCCATGGCTTTGGCTTTGTGACTTTGGACTCCTATGATGTTTCATGGTTTCACTCTAAACCCTTCTAAAGATTCCCCCTGGCACCCCACCCCCCCCCCCCCCCTTAAAACAGCATTACGAACGCGCCAATCCCCCCCCCCCCCCCCCCCCCCCCCCCCCCCCCCCCAAAAAAAAAAAACCCATCCCCATCTAGTTGGGCTATGATATGGATGATACAATGCAAAGATGTTCCAATTCTATCAGAATGCAGAGATCTCAAACAAACCTCAGACTCAGATATCAACCAAATTTTTTTTTTTCCACTGATGTCAAAATGTCATTGAGACTTCAACAGATGGAGATAGAACTTTTCTTTACTAAAACTGTCTGCACTATGAGGCGGGGAACAACTTGGGATTTCACATACACAATCAGCCACATTTTGAATAGAGGTAGCTGCATCCATACCCATCCATATATGCATACTTTTTGGCATATAAAATAAATAAATTTACTGCGTGAAAATGGAGGATAAAGAAGGAAGAGAAGACACATGGACCCCCCATTGAGAGAAGTCATCATATCACGACCACGCTGATACCTTTGACTGACTCGTATCACGGCTTGGGAATAGACAAGTGAAGTGGGGGACTTGATGGGATCAAGATTTCTCACTGGGAAATTTCACAGATTGCCTCAATGTTGATGCAGTGAGAAGAGGCAGGTGCACATAAAAAGAAGTGATCCCATCAAGTTGGCACTACTAATCTTTACGTGGCCGGCGTTTCCGGGCTGATCTCCGTCCATCTTCACCACTCCCTCCTCCATCATTCACATCCTGCAATGAAACCATAATGTTAATAACCTCATGCAATTAGGCCAAGTGTTTCCATTTTCATAACTAGAGGCTCTTTTAACAACTAACCTCTCAAATCCTCAACCACTCATGCTTTACACAATAGGAAAGATGAGAAACTCTTGCTGGATTTTGTCTGAAGTCAAATGAGAGCTAGATTGGGGAAACTAGCCCTCATGTCTGACTGCTGATTAAATGCAATCAGATAAATATCCTAACATGGGCCCACAGCCCATCTTGAATTCTCCTGACAGGTTCAGTGTTCCTTCCCTAAATTGTTATTCCATGCTCTCAACCCGTTGACAGACATAACTGTTACTACACAAGGAGGAAGAGTGGTACACAATGAGGTAAAACAAACTATAATACCTGCAATACTAGAAAGCAGACCCAATCACAGCTAAGAACTAGGGGGCGACTCACAGGTGGACATAATCTGTTTCCAGCCTGATAAATTGTGAAATAAGTAGAGATGCAACGATATTTTATCAGTTATCACTATCGGCTGATATTGGAGGAATCTGATACATCAGCCGAAAACTATATATGACCTGCCGATAACAGAGATTGAAATTACACCTGAAGTATGCCAAACACTACGTATGTAAGGCGAATGATGAATGTTCTCTCCTTTTCTCATTAGACAATATTTCACTTGACTCGAACACAAGCTCATGGGATGTTCCTCATGCATGAGTGTCAAAGTCAAGTGAAAAAAAATGTCCAACTCATGTGAAAACACTGCAGAAGGTTGAAAATGCCTAAATGACCCGTTTTCATAATAATAAAAAAAGAATGAAAATGTTGCTGAAAAAATGGCTGCTGAAAATGTAAGCATTTTTCTCCTTTGGATTGGGATTCCCCTCGGATTAGACCTTCACTGCTGTGGTTCCTCAACGTCCCACATCTAGAGATGGGAGCGCTCCGTGCTCGGGTACTCCCTTCCCAAGTGTGCTGGCGCTTGAACTAGGAAATATACGCTTGACTTGGCTAGGTTCAAGCCCAGGCCACCCTGTCATGGGACATAGGCTCATTACCCAGTCACCCAAGAGAGAGATGAGAAGCGTCACCTACTTAACTCAGCCTAATGCCACTACCATAGCCTACTCTGTACTTTCTGCGAAAATAGACATCGCTTGTGTTAGCGCAAAGAACCCAGGTCTAGATGGTTCCCAAAACCTCTGTACAAAATCTTCTGTAATATAATAAATATGATTGATTGCCTTAGAAATTTTCTGAAAAGCAGTTATGTTCGCATTTCATCTTTATGGCAAATTATCTGATGTGTTAACAATTTGTCAGTCATGTCTGTCTGGGTGTCCATTAGAGGTATGAAGGAGGGAACTTTGACATTCTTGACATTTTCTGAACTGAGTGCTACTTCGAAAAAAAAAAAAAAAAGAAGTAATTGCTATTCCACCTTATTGCAAGTTCTAGGATGGAACATAGGAAATGAAATGCCTGATGCAAATCCAATGTAATATTTTAAAAAACCACATTGAGGAGCCTGGCTTCAGCATGAAGAAAACATTTATTCTCATTATAGGAGAAATGGCAAAAGCATGAGGTGCACCACTGGTGCACCTCAAGCTTTCCCCATCAGACCTGGTCCCAAATAAAACTTAACAGTGGAGGGGTTAATGCCTGAAGGTGGATTTTTGAACAGAGAATAATCCGATAATGCAGCTTTATTCTGGGGAAAACACATATTTCCTGGAAATAAAGCAGCATTATCGGATAGTTCACTGTTCAAAATCTACCCTGAATGTGTGAATATAAATGTACAGGGTGACACAAAAGTTCTGTACACTCTGTTATCTCAATGTTTTATAACCATTTTTTAAGAACTCACAAATGGGGACAACGCTATTAGAAACTACAACCATTTCAACAGATAATGCCCGCAAATTCATTCAAAATGACCACCTTTTGCTGTAACACAATCGCGAAGTCTCTTTCGGAATGCATCGACTGCGGCACGCAGGGTTTCCTGGGGGATTTTGATCCATTCCGTTTGAAGGGCACGCTTCAGGGATTCGAGAGATGCATGGGGAGTAGCACAGGCTTTGCTCTCCAAGATGCTCCACACGCAAAAGTCCAATGGGTTCAGGTCTGGACTATAAGGAGGCCATTCTGCCGAGGTGATGAAGTCAGGGAATTCTTTTCTGCAGAAGGCCTGAGTGATTTTTGCCTTGTGGGCTGGCGCAGAGTCCTGTTGGAAAGTCCATTTGCGGTTTCCGAAGTGCTTTTTGGCCCAGGGCATTACAGTATCCTCCAGGATAAGGTCACGATAGGCAATCGCGTCGATCTTCATGCCAGACGGCACAAAAACCAGGGGCGTGCGCCCCTCTGCAGTGATACCCGCCCACACCATCACAGAAGCTGGCATCTGTGTTCGAGAGACACGTCGGAGGTCTTGAGAGATACCTGACGACTCTGCTGCCCATACTCGATCATTTTGAGAGTTAAATGATTGCTCGATCGTGAAGAGCTTCTCGTCAGAAAAGAGGATATTGCGATGGCAGCCATCTGCGAACCGACGGAGAAGGGCCTGCGATCGTTGCAGCCTAGTTTTCTTCGCTTGCTCCGTGAGATGTTGAGCGTTTTGGAGTTTGAAAGGCCGAAGATTCAGCTTGCTCTTGACAATTTGCCGGAGCGATTCGCGATTTATCTTAGTCGTTTGGGCCATTTTTCTCAGCGATTGCTTGGGATTTCGACGAAGCCGAGATCTAACCCTTTTGATGTTGGCAGTGGTTGACACAGACTTCGGTCGACCTGATCGATGACGATCTTCTGTAGAGTTTGTCTCAAGGAACCGCTGAATTGTACGTTTGATGAAGTTCCGGTTGTAGCCATTGTTCTGGAGCAGTCGGAAAATCTCTGTGGGAGACTTCCCAGCTTCGTGCAAACTGATCACAGCCGACCGACGATCTTCATTGGACAATGGCATGACGAAACTGATAGTTTCATCAGCACTTTGAGAATCCCCTAAGTCACGCGTACCTTAAGCTACGTGTAGAAACCAAGCCAAGCATATATGAACGTGGTAGCTTAGAATCGAGAAGTTTTTTAAAGTGTACAGAACTTTTGTGTCATCCTGTAGATATAGATATCAGTATCAGTTCTTTTCTAATATCGGAATTATCGGTATATCAGATATAGGCCAAAATTCAACATCATTGCATTTCTAGAAATAAGCCAACTTTTTTGCATTTACAGAGTTTAAAATTTAGAAGGAAAAAAAAAGGCCCTGTGAGTGGACTGCAAACCCATCAACAAACACACTTATAATTATATCCAGACTGTGTTGACAATGCCACATTTTACAGGACCTGAAAATTCCTTTTTCTTTAAAAAAAAAAGGAAAGGTGAATTTATTGAGCAGGCAATAAAGAAAGTGTGGACTTTGGGAACTATTGATGCATACAGTGCAAGGAAAATGTCAGGCTGCATTTCACCTTTTTTTAAATATTTTTTTAATTTTGACTTTCTTCCAAATTTGTCACCTTGTTCAATAATGTAATGAAGAGTTGATTCAGATAATTTTTGGAAGCATTAAATCTCATTGCAAAACATGAAAATTAAAGTTTAAATATATTTTTAGATAAAGAATCAATGGAGTTTTGATTTTAGAGGTGTAAAGTCCTAGTCAGATAGCTACAAGTTTATGAAGTGTAGATTTTCCCCTTCCAATTGATTGTGTTTCAGTCCCCTGCCCCCCTCACTCAGGGATATGTGATGATGTGTAGATGGAAAATCAATCATTCTGTGATCCTATAGGCAGATCCAAGAACAAGTCCTTCACAGATATATTGAAAAGAAAATGCAGTGATAGGAAGCTACATAGCTAGGGCTATGTAACTAAATGCTTACGGTGGGTTCTTGTACTCCCTTTTAGCCCTAAAGACCTTTTAGGTCCATTGCCAGCATAGGACTAAAAGCTCATTAGCAGCTAAAAGGGAGTACAAGAACCCACCCATACATCTTATGCTGTTATGGAACAGTTGGTATTTTTCATACCAAATGCTATGTTAGTAACTTTTGAAATAAGTGGACTCACATCATTATCTACATCACCACTACTGCCATCCTCATGAGCATCTTCACCAGCAGAGGAATCTTCCTTCTTGTCAGCTTCCTCTGCATCATCTTCTCCTTCACTGTCACCTGCATCTCCATCACCACCTCCTTCCCCTTCCAAATCCATCTTCTACAGGGAATCAAAAATTCATTCATGCTTTCATATGCCATTATATGAACTCTCCAAGCATGGTTTCAACATTCAATCAATATTCCTAGCACTTACCCTAGTGGCATGTTCATCATGTTCCTTTTCATCTTGTGGGCTCTTGTCTGAAGAGAGTTGTTCATCTCCATCACCTTTGGCTCCTTCATCATCTGGCACAAGAGGATCCTCCTTCTTCCTCCGTGCTATTTCGTCCAATTCAGCCTATCCAATCACAAGCAATGGTTAGAGTGAATGGGGAAGATGAAAATGAAACAAGCAAAAAAGAGGAAAAGTAGGCTGGCTCATGCTTAACCCTTTCAGTATGGAGTTTGGCGGTCATTATCATCATCCATGGACTGAGTTAGTTTTACAGAAGATGTACAATGTGGATATGGATGTGGGAACACAATGGCCCATATGTGTTCATAGTCCTAAGGAGCAGCTTACAACAAAACATGCATACATGTTCACAGTCCAAAAGGCACAGCCTACTATAAATGTGTATACACATTCACAGTACTTAAAGGGTTAATGTGAGACATCTCAATCCCTCTTAACCTTATGCTCCCATGGACATCAAGCAGTAAAAGAAATGTTTTTCCTGTACCCTAATTTATTTTATTTTATGACATTTGACAAACTTGTGTTTAAAGTTATAAAAAAAAATACGTAAAAGTTGTTTCCAGGAGAGATATGAAAAATTAAATAATGCTTCCAGAAAATAAAAATAAAAAAGGACAACAAAGACTGAAGCACCAAACTGCCCCTCTTCCCTGTCCCAATGATGAAGATGCATTAGATGCAGTAGTACAGGGTGCAGCAGCAAAAAAACCTCCCAGATTTTAAAGGTTAACAAAAAAGGCATGGTAAATGCTATTCAAAATGTTATTACATAATCTAAAAGTGCATGAAATACAGTTAATTTTCAATTGGTTTTGAATATGATATCGTCCAGATGGTGGCCTTCATTCGCTATACACATTTGTAGTCGATTTCTGAAGTTTCGCATCACTCGGCGGGTCATTTCCAGCATTATCGCTGCAATTTCTTGGTGTATAGCAGCCTTCAGTTCATTAATGGTTCTTGGTCGATGTTTGTAGACCTCAGCTTTCAGATGGCCCCAAAGAAAAAAGTCACAAGGGGTGAGATCGGGCACTTGATCTTGTTACGCGGTGACGTTGGGCGGCCTGCACGTTCACCCGATCTCGCCAACTATTTATTATTACTCTGGATTCACAGAGGGTATAGTACAGATTTTAGCAGCTGAAATAGGTCCAGCAGTTCCAACTAAGAATTTTGGCACTGCTGTGAGAAATAGTCATACCTAATTAAGTCATTAAATGCCAATCTCAAATTCGGTATTGTCAGAAATGGCATACCATGCACTCTTAAATGAAATAGAGGAACAACAAATTCTTGAGGTGGCAAGTGTTGATATTGACCACTGAACTTGATTAAACTGTTTGATTAAGTGGAACATCTTGTTTCAGCCTATGAGAATAGTGCCTGGAATCAATTAAAAATAGGAAATCTCACAAAGTGATACCAGAATGAAGCTTATATATTAACTAGAGGGGAAGTTATTACAGAAACAGTTTCACAATTTCAGTCCATATGGGCACTTTGAGTGAAAAGATGGTCACATTAAAATGCATACATCTGGAGATTGTAGGAGAGATAAAAAAAGTGGTTTCTTTAAATCTATTCCACTATGTGTATGCCGATTTTTGTCAAAATACTAGATGGTTGAGCTCATGCGCTAGTCAATTTGGTGTGGAATGACCCTATTCCAATTTTCTCAGCCAGCTGAGATATCATATATTACATTATTGCCCATTCATAGACTTAGATGCTTGGTCTGACAATTCATCTGAAACCTCCCCATCAGATTCAAAATGGCATTACCCATCAAATACATGCAAGTTACTCTTAAACCAGTAAAAAAAAAAAAAAAAAAAAAAAAAAAAGAAGGCCCTTACAAATGTCCCCCCCACAACAAAAAGGGATTGCAATGAGATTTAATGCTTCCAAAAATTATCTGAATCAACTCTTCATTACATTATTGAACAAGGTGACAAATTTGGAAGAAAGTCAAAATTAAAAAAATATTTAAAAAAAGGTAGGCTCTTACAAATGTCCCCCCCACAGCAAAATGGTTGGGCTAGTCCAAATTTCAATTATGAACACTGATAAATAACCTTGGCAAATTGATCAGTCAGTAGTTTAAGTGTTGGATTGCACATTGTTCATGTGTTCTTAAAATTATAAGCCACCTCAGATGAATGCAATTTCAATAAAGAAATCAAGTCTGATAAGCCAGGACTCATTCCAGAGGAAAATACTCTAAAAATTAGAAACAATTCTTGAGTTTCAATAATGAACATTGTTTTTTCGTTTTTTACCAATGAACCCCTTGCATTTCCCATTCTTATTTCTTTAGGCTATACACTGTTTCTGGATTGAATTCGTACCATCCCCCTATAGTGGTGAATAAAGGAAACACACATTTCTAGAGGTTTTGCCTCAGCAGGCGATAGACAAAACCACCCATGTGTAAGATGTCACTGTCACCTGCAATCTATGGAAGTGCTCCTATAGGGGGTACGAATTCAATCTGGAATTTGTAAATGCTCCTGTCTCACTTTTGGCTTTTTACTTTTCAACCATTCTCAGATGGAGAAGTTTGCAAAAGAAAGAAGCTAGCTACAATCTTCTGGCAGCCTATGACATCAGCTTTCAGACATCTGATGATAGATGCAATATTGAATAGTGCCTGCAAAGTCTTGAAAAAAGCATGAATCGATGGATGCAAACAACATTACCAGCAAAACAAAAGCAGGGCTTTGAAAATGATCGGGAAGAATGTAGAACTCACCTTGGATCCACCTGTGCAGTATGTGATGAGGAGGACTATTGGGAGGCCAAAGACTAAAACATAGATAGCCCAAAGCCATGGATACTTGTTTGTGTAGGCAACTGCTTGTTTCCACAGAGAACCCTACAATAGATACACTAGTCTACAGCAACCAGACTACAACAATGGCATAGGCCTATATGCAGTGCAAGTGTCAAATAAAAGTCCATTATGTGACTTCAATTGCAACTGTTGCCAAATTGTTCAACAAGACCTTCACAACTGTTCAAGTTCAAGACATGTCACCACACCTTCCAGACTGATATACCAGTTTATAATAAATACTACTCATACTGCTACATTCATTCTTGTGCAATGATATTGCTGTGGATTGTCCAGAACATTACCTCTCCTTCTTTGACAGTCTTCCGGAGAAAATTACAATAAAAAATAATAGGGATGGCACAATAAACAAAGTACACCATCCATGTCTTCGGATGGTAATTAGTGGCCTTCAAGAATCTTCCCCAGAGTGACTTCTGTAACATGACAAACACCACCAGACCACTTTAGTTCACTGGGTAATCATATGAGGTGTGACCTACCATATGGTGTCAGGTATGAGGTGTGACCTACCCATGGTCTGTGACATACCACAGCACTTTGGATGTGAAGAGTGACCATGGTTTGCATGGTATAAAATACACCCTTTTTTAAACATGATTTTACTATCCAAAACAAATTGGTGGGCAAATTTTGTCATTTGACTATCATCAGGTTTCACATTATATAAATTGATGAACCTAGACTTGATGTCCCAACTGAATGCCTCAAACCTGTTCATGGGTTTGAGGCCACGTCACCAGGCCTCAATGAGGTGCCTTGACTCAGGCATTGTCCCAAGAATTTTTTTTAAACTCGATCTTGCAAAATGCCCTGTTCATGGAGCCAGTTAACTATGCTCTCCTTACTACTGATTGAGAAAAACCTCCACATGGTCTGGATGCAGGGGGGGGGGACTGCCCCCTCCTGCGTCCAGGGGATGGGCCCCCCCCCCATCCCCTGGTAAGAACTAGGGAACCACCCTCCAAATAAAAATTTCTGTATCCACCACTGACAGTCCACTGTGCATGTGACCCCAGGGACCCATGGGCTTCCCATTCAGTGACACTGACAGGGATATTGGGGGCTTATTTGGGGAGGGGGGGGAGGGTCTAGGGTAAACCCCCAGAAAATAAACCTCCCAATATGCCTGTCAGGTCATCACACAGTGTTGTCGCTACAGCATAGTGCAAGACACCACCCCATAAGGAAGGTCACACCTCACACCCGAAGAGCTATGGTAGGTCACAGGCATATAGGTCACACCTCATACAATTACCGTTCACTGGTTATCAAAACAGAAAAAAGGCCTCTTGTGAAACAGCTTTTCAAGTAGTGGTGATGCCTCAAAGCAAAACCAAAGTTCACCATGGTGGATAGTTTGCCCGAATTATTTCATTCAAGGCCTACCCTACAAAGTTTAACTTTTTAACCAACCCATTCATGACCATAAATTCTAGGTGACCTAGACCATCTAAACCAGTGATGAGCAACCTTTTTTGACAGCGGGCCGCAATTGAACCCTTTAGGTTCCCGGCGGGCCGCATGTATTTTTTAACTACTGAATTACAGGCTGTATGATTGCTGAGTACCAAAATAATCCTAAGCCTGACTTAGTAAAATAGTAGATACTAATGATATGCAAAGAACTAATTTTGAACATTTTCTAATCATTTTACTGGGCAAAATACCAAGCAAGCCTCTTGCTCCAAGAGCAGTGATACACTGACCATGAAGTGAGCGAGGGGATATTTGCAGCGGAATTATAGCATTTATGTTATATTTATTGTTTCCATATCTCCTGGAGTGGACAACAGAATCTTTGAGCGCATGTGAGCTCTACTCTGGTTGGCAGATGAGAGGGAAAAAAAATTCAGTTGGCAAAGCCCTGTGGGCAGCGCATCAGGACCTCGCGGGCTACATGCGGCCCGCGGGCCACGGGTTGCTCATCACTGATCAAAACCATCATATCATGGTAGCATGAACATAAATGAAAGTCACATGATTAATGACACATCAGACACATAAGAAATGCTTCTAGCAAATAACAATTCCAAAAAAAAAAAAAATTAGTGAAAGGCTTCCATTTGAAATCTATTCAACATACATCTGTTGTGACAGCAGTCCATTGTTTCAGTTTCCAAGTATCTTCAGCCCAAGCCAGTGCAGTAGCTGGATCACTTGTCACAAGGATGTTGTCAAAGTAGATATTGTCAGACATTGACCAGAGCTCAAAACCCAGTGCATCCTGAAAAGAATCATACAGCAGTGTCTGAGTTTCACTAGCTTAATGATAGAATGAACATGTCTGTCCCACTGCAGATGGTGGTGATGTCAAATGGAAGGTAGGACAGCTGCAAACATTACAAATTATTTTCTGGCTTCACATGAACACAAGACACTTTGAAGATAGTGATTGCTGTGGGTTCTTGAGATGCTTTGGATCTATGCATACTGCTCATACCTCCTTCCAAGGAATTTTTCCCATTTGTCACTTTCTTTTACAGCACTTATGGAAATGTGCCACTCTGAATAATAATTGAAACTTTAAATTCCACCAAGGAATGCTACTTTTTTACTCTCCTCTGAGTCCTACCAAGGTTTGATTGCTGTTGAACATCCTCAATCTAGAACATAGGTCCTAGATCACACAATGTTTGCAAACAAACCCAGCAAAATCCCTCTTTTTATAATTAGACAAAAAGAGTGCTGATGTAAATCATCAGACATTTCTACATATCTTTAAAGAAAATCCTTACATCTTCATTAACCACAAAATCAAATGTATAAAGGACCAAGAGAAACACAATGACTTGTAGGATAAAATTGGAAGAACTTACCACTGTTGTCATGTGGAAAGGGTGATCATCCTGAAAGTATTTGGGATTAGAAATGACACGAGGTGCCCATTTTCCCTTGTACTTGGGGTTGTCAATCATGGGTGGATACCAGCGTCCTTTGTATGCAGGGTTGGCAATTTTTGGTTGTTTCCATTCCCCACAGCCAGGAGCTTCCATGCATTTGGGATTCTCAATCAGTGGTGGTTCCCAGTCTCCATCCATATCCTCATCCCTACAATACACACCAGTTCAGGCAAATGAGAAAATTCAATTGTGCTTTTAAATCAAATACACTCCCTCTTCAATACCATGAAATGAGAGGGGTTAAAATAAAAAAGCACTGTAGTCCTTTCTCCTTTTCATCAGACAACTCTGCAACTGGATACATTATTTTCTGTTGTAGCACTATGCAGTATATATGCAAAGGGGAATAATTTTAATCCTGCCACAAGTACAGCAGACTCTAGGGTAAGCAACTCTGAACTGCAACAAAATTATTGTTTCACTGAGGAAGGGAACTTGCACAAAATGACTGTTTTGAATTGGAAGGACAAGCCTTGTAAACCACAAACTTCTATGAATACCTCAAATCTGATTTTTCAGGCAACTAGAAGCTTTATCAAACATAAAGTCAATAATACAGAAATGCACCTCTGCACCATATTCAATCAACATCCAGAATCCCCCTTATGAAGCAGCTATGAAACTTTTCATCATACATTTGGCACTAATACTTTGAACCATGATTGACTACAGTTTATGATGAATTCCATTAATTTACTGTCTTCTCATTTCATACCAACACCTTGAAGCAATAATTACCTTTAGTAGAGCAAACATGAATTTCATTGCAGAACCTATGCACTGGAAAGAAAGGCAATTTTTTAAACATCCAGAGGTAGGAGGCAGGGGTAAAAGGCATGGTAGAGATGTACTGTCTCAATGGGAATGAGTAACTTCATGAATATGAAAGTCACTAATCTTCTTAAGTCCTTCCAGACAGACAGATACATCTAAATTACACATAAAAAATATATTGGTAAAAAATTGAGTACCCATAGAAATTTGAGAAATAATTTCCTTGACTTTTGCAGACTTTCAGATTCCCCAGGTATTCTTGAGGTTAATCATGACAAAATTCACATGAAAAATAATACCATCAATAAATAATCTTACCCATCAACCCATCATGCAAGCAACTGATAACAGGATTATACCAATTTCTGAACTTTAAGGGGTCATTCAACCCTACTTCTAAGTTTGAGTCTTCTAGGTTGCCCAGCTCCATTGTATCTACATTGGTGATTTCTTAGATTGCTACTCAAAAGCCAGAAGTTTCCATGTCCAATCATACAGAAAAAAGTTTGAAAACAAATAAAGTAAAAGCCTTTTCTGAATCATGAATAGCTTACCAATCATCAGGCTTGACAGCATCTGGATCAGGTATCATTGTTGGCTCATCTTCCAACCAGCCATCAGGCATTGTTGCAGACTCATCCAAAATCATTTCTTCTTCAACCCAATCATCTGGCTTCTTAGCATTCGGATCAGGGATCTTTTCCCGTTCATCCCAATCATCTGGCTTTTTATCTGTTGGGTCCTCTATCTCTTTAGGAGGGTTCACTGGCGGATCCATAGTCTCCAAAAGATTCCCAGATGCAAATTTCTGCAAGCAAGCATTCATTTACAGCAACAAAAAATTACAATATAAAATTTATTTTAAAAAATGCAAAAGAAAATATATTTAACAATTTTGCTTTAACTTTGTTGTCTAGTGTAAGGGCTGTCTAAAATGATCCATTGTAGTCTGAGACCAATGAAATGTGCCTTCATGTTCCAAAGAGTAAGCCAATGACAAGGGCTGATATTGACCCTTTGTTATGCTGACTTACAACCCCAAATTAGCCCTAATATCTGTTTCCAAGAAACACCCATATTAAGTTACACACTGCTCGGAACTGCTGACAGCTTCTTAGTGATGACATCCAAGAAAGCAGAATGTAGATGGATGGTCTCAGCCAATCAAGCCATTTCCCAACTTGTTGTGCTACCCCTCAATGCAGTTATTTTTGTGAGGCTTGTTTCCAAGCACATTCAAGGATTTAGAGGGAAAATTGTTTCCTATTGTGACCTGCCTCAGGGGCACCATAAATCCACTAATGTTTCTCAGAAGTATACATATATAGGTTCTGTTTCTGGAGGCATGCTCTTGAGAAGATCTTTGAAATAATTGAGTACTGAGTGAAAGGGGAAAAGACTGAAGCTGGGTTGATTGAAAAGGGATTGTACCGGACTAGCCAATGTCATTAACTTTCTTGGAAAATAGATGATAACTCCAATTTTAGAAGGTCAGGCAAGCAGCCTATGAAGGCATTAACTAAATAGGGGACAAAAGCTAATACTAATTACAAAGCGAATAGAGTTAGCCCTAAAAACGCACATTCAGCATTATTCGACATTTTCTCCGTTCCACCATGTCATAGTTAGACATTTTTACTGTTTCCCATTTTGCCCTTAGACATTTCATGTTGTTGACATTCTTGCTATTCAACAGAAAACTTTTTACGTTCTGTCTTGGAACCAGTACAAGCCAATCAAATTCCATATGCCCCAAAATTGAAAATTAGCTGTCTCCTCAAGGTTATCATGAATACAAGTGACTTCAGTGGATTTTTGAAATTACATGCATGCTGTGAATCATAGGAGCCCATGGGCATATGCAAAGCCTTCCCAACATCCACTTTCCATGTAATTAAGATGTATTTCATTTGCGATTTTGCATAAAAACTACAGTATTTTTTTTCTGTCCAATTAGGAGAGACTATTCAATAACTTTCTATTTAAATTATTCAATAAATTTAGCTGGGTTTACATACCTGAAGATCAACCTGAATCTCAAAGGAATTATCAGGGTAAAGGAAGAGAGTATACAGATGAGAGGCTTTGTCAGTGAATTCATCATCAAGCTTCTTGCTTGGTTTCTTCATGTGCTTCTCCTCAAACTCTCCAGTCAATGGGTTCTTATGGCGAAAGATGAAGTGCAGCTACAAGGAAAAGAAACATTTTTTACATGAGAGTAAAATGACATGAAGAAGGAAAGGGTAGTGACTTGAAAAACTGTCTTGTCACCTTGGAATCATGGCCACATTTGTCTGGACCAAACATGATGGTATATGGAGTCTTGTCATGTAGATTCTTCAATGAAAGATTAGAGTCCTTGGAAAGCAATTTGATGTATGCTCCTCCACAATCTAGACCATTCTGAAAGGCAACTTCATATTGCACTATCAAAGGATTTGAATCAAATACAAATGGCTTGTCCAGCTTTGCTGATATGGCAGAATGTTTTGCTTTGCTCTTCATGACTAGACCATAGTCTCCTGGTAACGCAGTCTTGCTCATGGCCTCTACTTTCCAAATTCCTGGAAAGATAAATTATAATAATAAACATCAAAGAGAAGAAATTTCCAGAATGAATAAAAGGCAAAGCACCCCATGAAAATCACAAAGACCACAACTTAAGATCTGAAAATTCAAATGTAGTCTATTCAGCAGCAAGAGACACACTATGTCAAGGACAAAAGATTTTATGGATGAGGCAGTGAAGGGCAAGGAGTCAAAGAGAGGTGTATATCTGGCCTCTGGGAGGTCATTGGGGGGGGGGGCTAAAGGTTTATGACATACTTCAGTGTTGTCAGATGAAAGACAATGCTTTTCAGTCAGCTGAGAGAGATTCCTTGGGGTCCTGCTTCTTCTGATTGAACAAAAGAAAGTCGGCAACCCTGATTTTCAAGGTTAATCACTCCATTCACCATGTATCAGGTGAAGAGTTTGTGATATTTAACCCTTCAAGCTGTTTTCACGTACACTGTACATTCATCACTTAGGAGGTCGAGTCAAAACTCAGCACTTGAAGGGTTATGATCGAGGCTCCCCTTGACCTGTCACATGTTGAAGCCACAAGTGTGTCTTTAGAGGCCAAATAGACTACAACATTAACCTTCACACACCAAACATTTCCATATCTAAACATGGCATACAAGTAAAAAAAAAGTAAGTATTTTTTTCATACTTTAAGAGCATGGAATATTTCCACACCTAAAGGAGGAAAATTCCATGCTGTTCAAATATGGTGACTTTTGCATTTTTCCACATTAATGCTGTGTTCAAATATGGCAAAATTCATTTTTTTTTCCCACTTACATGCTCTGCTCAAATATTGAAACATTCAGTGTGTAAAGGTTAAGATGGATCTTACAACAAAAATGCATACTAGGTATCCCAAAATATACCTCAACTCACTCATATCCTTGAATACCCAAGGATCATCTTCATCTAGGAGATACTTGAAAAACAACTTACACTGAATATGGGTCATTTTTGTATAAATTACAATTTGTTATAAATTACAATTAGGTAATTATCACTTTCAGAATTATTTGTTACTTTGTCAATTTTAAAAGTTTCCAAATGGTAACATTTTAAAACAAATAATTGAAAAAAAAAAATGATTACGGTGGTCACTCTACATTACAAATACAAATTGAAGGGATATGAATGGTGGCATTACAAGGATATACGGTGTAACTTCACAGCAGTATGTCTTCAAGCCATCTTACCAGCCTGAAACTTAAGAGTGAAAATTCATTTGCAATAAGTGCCCCCCCCCCCCTCCTCCATGATTTCCTGCTTGTCTCTTCCATTCCTTCCTCCTAATTTTTCCTTGTCCAACCAGAGATGAATTACTGGTAGAGTGCTACCCTTGTTGTGTTATATTTCATTTTGCACATAACAGGTCTTGGAGGCCTTTATCTTTGGTTTGCATTAATATTAATGAGAGCAGCAAATGATGCTAAATACTTGAAATGAGCTCTTAGTCACTGGGATCAGAATACAACTGATGACTTACCAGCATATCATGAATGTTTCAATTTTAATGCATTTAAAGCCCATCTTTCATGTTCCACATGAACCTAGAGTATATATTAGTTGAGACATGCAAACAAATTAGGCCCCTATTTTTTGCCTTGACCATGAAAATTTTCTGATGAAAGTGGTAATGGAGAAGTGGCAAGCATGGTTGCAATTATCTTATTACAAGGACCAAGATTCACCTGGGAAAAAATGCACAGTCCATACTTTCCTATAATAATAATAAAATTTTTATAATGGACATGGATTTATTTTGAAGAAATATTTTATCTGATATGATTCTGGGGTCAATTCAATCATTCCATCCAAATCAACATGAAGCAAAAAGCTGCATGACAGGATAACCTTGCAACTCTATGCTATTAATCTCTTGCTACATACTTTGGTTCCCAATGGATAGTTGCAGATCAATCAGTCCTATTTCAATGGTTGTTACTTAGGGAATGTCAAAATGGAATTGATACTGGTGTTGTGTGAAACGCCCTTATTCCTGATATAGGATGCAAGAACAATGAAAAATAGTGGTGGATGCTATAATCCCCACAATAACATACCATCATACTTTGCAATGTCAGATTCAACACCATCCTTCTTGGCTTGTGACCTCATCCATTGGGATTCAGAGGCCTTCTCATCGTCAAAATGGTCGGCAAAATAAGTGGGCCCAGAACCTTTAAGCTTTGGAGTCTCATACTTCACATCAACAATCTTGACATCTTCCTTTGCAGGCTCATCATCAACTATGACATTGGCATCATCCTAAAATGATAAAAGAAATTGCCTTGTCATTTCCTGTAGTGGCAAAATAAAATAAATAAAAACAATTTCTAAAACATATGCCCCTATGAACTCCCAGTCCCATTCCTATTTCCACCTCTTAGTCCACCTGCTTCTATCTATTATCAGCATGAATTCAATTTGGGTGCCCATTTTTATTTACATTTCAATCAGGAACAATGAGCAAGACAGGGATACAATTCTCCCTCTCCAAAAATGAATAAATAAAAAAAGGGGGCAAGACCTAAACAAGCAGGAAAATTAAGAATATTAAACAATTGTTATGACAGAAAGAAAAAACTTAATTGCAGTTATCTTTAAGAAGCAGGTAGCATACTTAAAAAGGGGGACTAAACAAATGTGCAAACTGAAACATAGGTAAAAAAAAAGCACATACTTACCTGGTCATCAGGGTCAACAAATTCATCAAAGCTGCTGTCAGGATCATCTGATGGGTGTACCAGAGCAATCAAAGCCCCAAATATTAGTAATGAGAGAAAGAATTTGGCTCCTTTCATTCTCTCTCAATATCTTTCCATAGAGACCTGAGGAGTAAGTACAGCATTGTCATTATCATTAAAATCAACGGGTGTTTCATATAAGCTACACTATCAGTAGCTCATGAACATCACCCAATTGAACCAATTTATGGAGGCAATCACAAGTTGAGCGAAGGGGGCTTATTTTTATTAACAAGAGTCACAAATTCATGTGGATCTTTAAAAATAAAAAATGAAACACATGTATAAAGAAAGCAAAAATGTAATAGGTATTAAGGGAGTTTGGGGTGAGATATATAAAGAAAAAAATGAGGTAGATGACTAGAAGAGTTATAGATATAGAGAAGTGTTTCACAACAGGTGACCCATGGACCCCTAGGAGTCCATCACAAGGCCCCATTGGATCCATGAAACTAGGCTTAGGTCAAACAATAAAGGATAAATTAAAATTAAAATTGAAAAAAGTATTAATTTCCACAATTCAGCTAACTTTCAAATATTATCTTTAATATCACTTGCACTAATTTCAAAAGCTTACAAATTTACATAGCAGTAATGGGAGTCTACAGAGTTCACCTCTATTCAAAAAAGAGCCAGCAGGTTGAAAAAGGTTGAGAATAATTGACAGCAATGGTGAAAGCCGAGTGCTGATCAACATTCATGCATCATGAAGAATTGCATAATGTCAAGAAATGGGGAAGAAAATGAGCATGTCAATGAGCCACTAACACCTAAAAAGCAGCTTTGTATCATTAACACTTAAACAAGGTGTTAGATAGTGCCATGGATTTATCAACACTTGAAGAAAACCAAGAACCAGAAGCTTGATTACAAACAAATCCTATTCACAGCCAAAGAGGCAGATGCAGCATGAATGAGATATTTCTTCTGACAATTAGACATCTACTTATGACTAGCTAGTGAAGCATGAGTGTGAGTTCAATAGTAATGGCAGTCTATTGGCAGACTTATGAGCTGAGCTGGATATCATATGATTCATAACTTCATCTGGATTGATGATGCCATAGCCTTGTAACCCACAGACATGTCTATTTGTTGCTGGTGAATAAGCAAAAGTTTTAAAGGCTGGTCTATAACTTTGAAGTGTAGGCTTTTTTCAAAGGTCTACTTAGTATTAGGAGAGCTAGGTATATTATCATCAACTACATTGGCTTCTTAGAAAATAATATCATGAACTAATTTATATGCAGTTCAGTGCAATTTGATGATGTACTGCACTGAAGATGATACAGCAGCCCAAGATAGGCACAACCTACATGGACAAAATAACACTCATGTAGCAGACTATTATGGTTCTAATGAATTTACATCCCCCATTGAGATGAAAGCAAAAAGCACTCCACTCAACTATTCACTAGCAATTGAAGCAAGTGATAGGTAGTTGACAGATTGGCTTCCATTGCAGAGGATCTATGTTCAAAACTAACCAAGATTAAAGAGACCATTCCCCTCCCCCACAACACAGCACTCATGTCTCTAGACATGGGGCATTAAAGATCCCTGACAGTGATGGCTGAACCAAGGTAGCATGTCCCCAGGGCAATAAATCATGCCCAACTGGGTCTTCCAAGGTTACAACTTGTAAGCAGAGATAGAGGGAGGGAGAGTTAGCCGGTGTTCCAGTCAGTCAGGGAACAATCATTGTCTTGTTGCCTGTATTTCCTGATATACTATCATACTGCAGCACCCAGAAGTTGATGCAACCATGGCTTTCTAACTCACTGAAGTCTTCCCATACTGACTCCACCTCAGCCTCTGATATGGCCAGGGTCAAGTACTTTCAGAAGGCAGACATGTGAATGTGGTTGTGAATGGCTTGTGATACCATCCAAGGAGGGACTGGGGGTGAATCCAATATTTAAAGGACACCAAGCTCAGCCAATATAGCTAACATTCACTAACGAAACATCACAGCCAAGTTTCTTCAGAATTATGGTTTGTCAACAATATCTTCAGTTTGGGCACTAGAATCTCACTTCAGATGTCAAGCCCTAAGCAATGGTAAGTTAGGGCCTAAGTTAGCTAATAATCCACCAGTACCATGATCACGTTCGTCACTAAATTACAGGCCTACATGAGTCACACCAATTACAACAAAAAAAATGACGATGGCGGGATACTGAAGGTCCCGATCTGCTCGAAATGCAGACATTGCCATACCATACGCGTCTACGCCGTTTGAACTACCTTCATTAGGCCTAGACCTAGGCTTCGGGTGCATTCTAGGCCTGGATGACGCAGTGACAGGAAAAACAAAAAGAAAAGAAATACAACGCACTGCAGGCAGACTAACACATCGAAGCTTCAATTAGCATTGGAGCCCACTCTACTCTGCACTTGTCACGCTTCCTTCATCCACGTTATGGCAGGGCCGGGCGCCGATGAAAACTGCACGTGTGCGCGTGGGGAATTTTCATTGGCTCCTACCCATCAGAGACTAGGGTTGCCATATCCTGTTATCCCAACTACAGGCCGCCTGGCTTAAGACGCAAGCATAAGGCTTAAGGTCCAGTTCGCAGGGAAACCCGTTCATCCCCACAACCCTTGGTGAAGCAGGTTAAGGTGTAATCGCATAGGGGTTTGTGTTTTGGTCCCCGAATGTGGGGTCGTGTTTCTCACTCTCGCGAAAGCTCCGGATTAAGTCTCGTCTAAACAAAATGCCATGAAGAGCGGGAGGAGGGTGCCAAATGCCTCCCTTCTTTTCCAGGTGTGGGTGCAATGCCAACGGTCTCACCAGTGCCTAAATCTGACAAAATGTTATATTTAAATTTAAGTCTCAGCAATTCATGCAAGCACGTTTCTCGCATTTTCTAAAGACTTTCTGTTAGATTTAGGGCCGGATTAAGAAGTTTCGGGGTCCAGGGCAAGTGAATTCATGAGGCTACCCCGCGCCCCCCCCCCCCCCCCCCCCCCCGCCCCCCGCACCGGGTACGTGGGCCCTTTGGTGAAGGTGTCCCCTTGGTATTTCTTCGGTATTCCGGTGGGCCAGTCCGACCCAGTTTGAAAATGCCTCGCATTTTCTCGAAACATCTAAATGCAAAACGACCGGCGGATGTCTGGATGACCGGATTTTGTCCGGTGAACTCCTCCTAGGTTTCTCAACCGATTTCCACCATCGATACCTCATTCGATTTCTGATTTCCTGCAGATGGTCCAACTCATTCCCCCCCCCCCCCCCCTCTGGAATGGATTCCATGAACACCGTCCCGCTATACAGAAGCGATTACTGAAATAAGCCACCTCTCTTTACCCTTCCTATCCGTGGGACGGGCACTGTACGACCGGCTGCTGCGTCAAATGCGGCTGTCCGATGGACAGTGCACGACGAGTGCAGGGCAGTAACTTGATGCACCTCTCCAAAAGAGAAAGTTTTTACTATTTGAAATCTGTAGGTGTCATACGAAAGGTGGATCTCCAAACTCAAATCCCAAATCCAATAACAATTACAGGCCGTTTAAGTAAAAAGATGCTTTCTGGTCATTTAAATCCCAATCTCCTCCGGAATCAGGCTATAATATTGCCTGATACGGAAATGGATTTAAATCCCTTGGCGCCGAATGGTTAAAACGTGCAAATTCGCCGACGGGGGGGGGGGGGTGAGCAATTCACATGTCGCGAATGCACTCGAGTCTCTCTCCTCTCTTCCCCGCAGGATTGGAATGCTGCGGAATGAAAACCGGATGATTGAGTCTCTTTTTTGTCTGCAGATAGATACGTACGCAACGCTGCAGGAGAGAGACGCGCATGTGTGTTGAGGGGAATCAAGTCCGTAATTCTTTCGGTCTTCCATCTGGTTCGGTTGCTGAGGCGCCATTACGCGCTTTTCGTTTCAGAGGATGAATGACAAAAGTTTCAAAACCGATGGCTTTACTCGTCAATGTCCAAAACCAGTACCCGAGAATGTAATTAAAAAAGAAGATCCCAATTGCTTCGGCTCTACATGAAACCCTTTTCCTCCAATTTGGTCTCTTCTCAACCAAAATAACCTCCGAATCGTCCACGGTGACCACCACGACCACCAAATCCTCCGTGATGACCACCGTGACCACCGAATCCTCCGTGATGACCACCGTGACCACCGAATCCTCCGTGATGACCACCGTGACCACCGAATCCTCCATGATGACCGAATCCTCCACCTTGTCCACCACCACCTGGGAATCGGCCGCCTTGTCCACCGCCACCCTGAAATCCTCCACCTTGTCCACCACCACCTGGGAATCGGCCGCCTTGTCCACCACCACCCTGAAATCCTCCACCTTGTCCGCCGCCTCCTGGGAATCCTCCACCTTGTCCGCCGCCTCCCTGAAATCCTCCACCTTGTCCACCGCCTCCCTGAAATCCTCCACCTTGTCCGCCGCCTCCCTGAAATCCTCCACCTTGTCCGCCGCCTCCCGGGAACCCTCCACCTTGTCCGCCGCCTCCCGGGAATCCTCCACCTTGTCCGCCGCCTCCCTGAAATCCTCCACCTTGTCCGCCGCCTCCCGGGAATCCTCCACCTTGTCCACCACCTCCGGCATGGCCTCCACTTCCTCGTTGTCCGTATGAAGTCGTCATCATTGCCACGGCAAGCATCTACCCAGCAAACAATTTGAAACACATAACGTCGAATCAACGTAGAATCAACATGAAATAAACGTTTGGAACGGTGCGATCATGTTGGTCCAATGTGGCCTCGTTTGTTGGGTATTAGCAATGAAATTAAGCATACCAAATGCAGCTGAGTATTTCGAACTGGCTATGTGGCATTTCCACGTATTCATGCCATTTTAATGACTTCATGAAATTACCCTCAAAATAAAAAAAGAATCGTCTCAGTTCAGCCTGGAATGAGCTTCATTTATATGCTTTAGGAAGGAATGAAAATGGTGGTTCTTTTCTCCATGTATTTCTTTTCGAGTGACTGTCCTATGCAAGGATATTTGAAAGAATTTGTCAACTTGGAAGTTGCAGATGTGTAGGGAAAGCAAGAAGAGTTCCCCGTTCTCAACACCAGATTCTTTCTCCTCAACTGAGAACCAAATGTGCTCGTGCTGACCTTTCTGGGCAAGAACTCTCCCCATGCGGGTTGGGGGCGTTCGTGGGAAACTCGCTTTGCAGACGAGACTCGTTGACAGAACGACTCGTCGAAACGGGTCCAGAAAATAAAACTTTTGTACTTCTGTACCGTTTTAGAGGATGCAAGCCTCGCTGCCACGAATCCTCGCACCGACTTTATCTGGACAATCGCGGAATTCGCGGGCTTTCAACAAAACCACCCCGATGCGGCAGATGCCATCATTCCAGGGGGGAAAAAAAAACTGTGAAGAACAGGATCTCGAAAGTCGTGACATCTGCCGAAACCTGTTTTGCTCTGAAATGTGGATTTCCTGAGCAGGATGAATAGGACAAGATCTGGTCCACTAAAAAAAAAAAATCAGTAAAAAAATAAAGAGGAAAATTTATACCTCAAGTGATTCATTCTTTTCTACGCAAACCAACTCGAAACCCTGGAATTTCTCCTGAGCAGCTGATGAAAAATTACCATTCCGTCCTCGCCCAGCATTTTCATATTGGGTTTCCTTTGGGATTGAAACATGATTGGGAAAAAAAAAAGAAGTTGGGAACAGTCGATCACGATCAAATCGAAAACCAGAGCTTCCTTCTCAATTAATTTCCGAATTGAAAGGTTATCACCACGAGAGGAACTTATTCTAACAAGGTGTAGTTCTGAGTCCCTTTGCAAAATGCCGATTTCTGGATAAACTTTTCACTTTCACAACTTGAGTGAGCTGGGAACCGAAAAATAGACCCGATTTCCATCTCATTTCATCATCAACTCCATTTTAATCACGTTCAAACGAGCCGGGATGGGGGGGAAAAGCTACTGGTTTGGGGACATCGACAGTTTCTTTTCGAGAGAATCATCAGGGGCATATTCTACAGAAGATTTACCAGCTACAAGCTACAAGTCACAAGTGGAGCGGCCGTATTAAGGAGTATTTGCATTATCTGTTCCAAGGCAGGGCCGGATTAAGGGGGGGGCAAAGGGGGCAGTTGCCCCAGGCCCCACTCTTCCAGGGGGCCCCCGAAGGAAATTAAAAACGTTAAGTTCAAAAAAGTATTGTATTTGCGTAAAGTAGCTGGGGGGGGGGGGCCAAGAATTCACTTGCCCCGGGCCTCGTAACTTCTTAATCCGGCCCTGTTCCAAGGAGTTTGCGCCAGCTCACATTACGAGTTCTGAGTGCATTCCGGATTTCTCTATCGAGTAGCACTCGTGGAATGACACCAAAAGAGGTTTCGTTAATGAAAGCGTTTGGATATCTCTTATGACGAGAAGCTTGATTTGCTGAGTCGAATACGCCATGCCTTGGCCTGAAGGTCAGAGTCTACATATTCCAGATAGGGTGCAATCGAATATGCCCAACAAAGTAAGGAAGCTGTTCGAGTCCATTGGTAGTACACCAGACAGAGTCGACACTTACATTCAAGGTTAATTCCATCAAAGAGGGCGCCAAGAAAAGTTGCTGCGATCATTCTTTAGCTGGCAACGCTTACAGTCAGGTATTTCATTTCCTGAGGCGCTGGATTTTATTCGTTCAAGTTTCTTTTTTGCAACGTAATCACATGAGCCCAACTCTACTGTATTGTACCACATTAAAACTATGCCTATGTTGCCCCATGTACGGCCGGAAAATCCATCGTCTACGTCTTTCTGTAACTAACTTTAAGTTTTTGTAACTTGTAGCTTGTAAATCTTCTGTGGAATGGGCCCCAAGTCGTGAGATTTCATTTCTGGATTTTGTGCCTGTATCCATTCGTGCATTTCGAGATGGAACGGAATTTTTCTATGCCAAATCGAGTCCTACTACCTAATCACATCCTTACGTTGAACATTTCGATTTTTAAATTGCTTCATCCTAAACAGGAATTTCACCATAGAGAAACATGACTATAAAAAATATTCCCAATCCATTGAAATCCGTTGATGAAATTCCTCAAATGCAAAATTGTCGTTTCCTTGAAGGAAAAATCAAAAGTTGGCATGGATTTTTCGGGTTTCTCCCTTGAACGCGAAGAATATCACCACAAAAAAAAAACCTTCTGGAAGTGAGAAATGAGTTGTTGACCTCAAGTCTCAACTTCTACTGTCCAGCAATCGTCAGCAAGACTGAAAGTGCGGACTCACCAGTACGAAGAGCTTCATCTTCGGGAGCAGATCACGCGCGTACGTAGCGGGAGAGTAGGATCTCTGAAATGGACGAAGAAGGTCTGGTTCTCCTTATATTGTGGTGTCTCAAGGCCTAGGCCCGGGGCGGTGGGCCGGAGGCCAGTGAAATCGGAATAAATAATAAATAAATAATAAATAATTATAATAATAAAAAAAACAAGAAACAGGATTTCAAGATCATCACTTGATCACATAAAAAAAAGGAATGAACCAGAGACGTCATCTGGCAAGGGGAATCCCTAACCCCCCTCTCGTGTTCCATCTCTTTCCCTTTCGTCCCTTTAGATGTGCTAAGCATTTCTAATCTCCTCTGTTTGCTCCGCCACGAGCAGAGTATTTTGTCTTCTTTCTTCTGAATCCCACATAGCATGGATCTCGCTTCCCAATATCCCAAGCACGCCTTTCTGGAGATTGGGAGCTAAGTGCTCGGGACAGGTGAAGGCTCATCCTATTTTAAGAGTGAAATCCTCTTCCTCCCAGGAAACGAAAGATCCTCTTTCGAAGATCTTTCGAAGAGCGAAAGAAGCCACACGAATAGAGGGCCCAATTGTCTTGCTCTACCCAGAGCCCCTGGAGAAAGAGAGCCTGGCCGACCTGGGTCACGCTTTTCGACCCATCCGATAGGCTGACGCGCATGGGCGCCACTTTCGCTCCAGCTGCTGCATGAACATGGTCCATGCAAAGCATTTGAGGTGGCTTCTCCTGCCTTGATTGTATGCAATGCATTACTGCTCTATAGAGCAATAATGCCGCGCCATGCAGGTGCGAAACGCTCAAACGGGTCTGAGCAAGGTTTTCGTCTGTTTCTGTTTCCGATAGACGCCAGGAGAAGATCCCTTTGGGCTGCGAAAGTGAAACGTGAACATTGGGAGCTTCAAGATTGATCTCGTTTATGTGAGGTAACCATAAACATAAAGCCAGTGAGGAGACAACATTGCCCCAACTATAAGTGGTTTGCATTCATGCAAATGCAGAACCTTCATGGTGTGAATTCAAGTTAGGCCTCTGAAGCTCTGCCGAAAAATCTGTTATGTAATATAAGGTCATTCGGGGTAAGTGTGATTGATCCTACTTTTTTGTACTTACAAGTACCTTATGGCATCAACGAAATATGCACTAAGAAGTCCTCTGTCATGCTAATCCCTTGTTTACATATCTCGTCAAATTTCACTAGTTCGATGAGAATCTCCAAGTACCCAAGCAACATGTTCACGTAAACAAGATATCAATTTTTTGCAAACAATGTAAATTTCTTGCGATTGCACTTGGTCTTCATCATGGAATTGGGGGGGGGGGGAGGGGATTTGCAGGGACCCTTTGTCAGCAATTTCCCGGGGGGGGCCTTGGTCGCTAGTCCGAACTTGTTTTCAGAAGTGCAATATAGCACACCACCATTTAAAGAAATCCCTGATCAAGTGGGTTTATTTTCGCTCTGGAAGCATTTAGCGACGAACATCATTCGTGCATTCCGAGACGGAAGGCCTCGAAGAGGAAGCGCAAAGAGAAAGAGCTCAAACGATTTCTATATTAATGAGATATATCAAGGACAAGAACTAATGATGTGCCCCAGGAAAAAAAAAAAAATTAAAAAAAAAACACGCCCGCAGCGACATTCACCGATTCCATCTAGGAACCCCGAGAAGCATCGGAAAAAGAAATGAAACAAGACCGCCGACCTCAAGGCCGCGAAGGACACGGAGAGCCGCACCTACCGCTACGAGCGGAGGATCCCGACTGGAGGATAGCCCAGGGAGACCTCCCTTTACATACAGACGTCCCACGGTGCGGTCCCGACCTGGCCTCCTCCCCCTTCGGACCCGCGCTTCTTCCTCATGTCCGTCTTCCGAGTCTGATGCGTCAAACGGAATTTCGATGCGTCGCTGCGTCGGGCGCCGGTCTTCAACGAAGGGCGTACCGGACTTAAGTAGGAAATGCCCCAGCGTAAACATTTTCCCGGTATTTTCCGATTCATCTTTGTAAAAATTCCCGACGAAGGACCTGTAAACCTGGGTTTCGCCTCTTGCTCGGAAAATATTTCTTGCATATCTTCGGAAAGCGCGCTTCGTCTTCTCTGCGGAAGTTTCCCCTTCTTCATCACAAAATATTACGTCAGAGGGACATAAATCCGAATTCCGCCGTCCAAGCGAACGGCCCCCTATCCTCGTTCGCGTCAGAAAAGCCTGTTTCGAATATTCGTCGAAATATCCTTTGCGATCAATCCAACCTTTCAATATCGGCACCTCGAGGAATCCACCAGATTCCTTTAGTTTCCGATCCGAACGATAGATGACTCCCGCTAGCCTCCGATATCCCCTTAAATATGACACAGTGATGCCTCGAAAACCGTCAAGTTTCCATTCCCAAGAGGAAAGGCATTTCCATGCGTATTTCCCTATCGGACGCAGGGGAAACGAAGAGCCTCATTTTCCCTGCTTCGACCTCCACCTGCGGTTACCGTGGTTACCTGCGGTTACCTGGCTGCCGGTGGCCCCTCCCGCCGAAGCCTGAAGGATGTCGGACTCGGTCGTTTTCCTCGACGGGAACGGGTCGCGATCTCTTCTGAAAGCGATTTAATGGAGGTACTGAATGTTGGCGTTGGTGAATGGAACTTACGGCTTCTCGGTGATGGGGATGCGTCAAATTACTCATGGATCAAGAAAGGGGAGTCCCCGTGATAATGAAATCCCATTTTTACATGCAGTATTTCGAATGAAAAGGAGCCGTTTTTGGATAATGAAGGCATTTAAGGAAAATCCGAATGAGAATGAGACTGAAAATCACTTCCGTGAGCGGAAACCCGATCCCGACAAAGGAAATGAATTTTCCGGAAAATGAGAGGAAAGCTCCATTACTCGCTTTAGAAGGAGGAACGATTCCAAGGTTTTTTTGGTCGCGGTCTCACCACCATCCACCCCGAGCAGCACATCCTCGGTGAGTCGGCGTCGGTCCGGCGTTTAGCGTCGAGGCGGCCGCTGCCGGAACAACGTCGGGCCCGTCGGCGTTCATTCCATATCGGCGGTTCGCTTTTATCCTCCTTTCGACAACGTCGACACCGACGACATGTCGACATTGATTCGGTGCTCAACGGCAAAATTGCTACGCTGATGCAATATTTTTCTCATCAACGTTGACTCCGTGTTGAAAATCCATTCAATTCAACCATTAAAGCGACGAGGATCCACGACGGTTCAAACTTTGAAATGTGACAGGTCTCAACAGACTGTTTAATTCTTGCACATGCCACATTTTATGGCTCAAGTACACTGTGAATATCATCTCGACACAATCTCATTTCTCCGAAGTCGCTTTAGAAAGATCCCCCCCCCCCCCCCAAAGCAAAGAGGGCGTTGGAGCGATTGCAGTGTAAGAAAACCCAAATAGCGCAAAAGTAGTGGGCCATAAACGGCCCAGGCACCGCACTGGCGGATTTCTGCTAGGGGGCGGGAATGCGGCGATAAGTTGGACATGCAGTTGCTGGCCTTCCACCAGTTCAGGGTGGAGAATGTAGCTGGCACTCCCCTAGGTGCAGTACCAAGAGTCCTCACTAGATGGTACCACAGTTCCCTGCACCCTACAAATGCAGTGAAGTGCCTTCCTGATGTAGCAAAAGTGATTTTTCCTCGTTTTTCATTTTTTAAATGTGCAATTTATAAACAAGTACTAGCTAATCGTGGAATTATGATGTTTTGATCGCAAAATAAGGTTCGGGGAATTATTAAATGCCGAAGTTAAGTATGGGAATTCAGAAGTGTACAGGACTAGGGGAGGGTATATAATCTCGTTGTTCTAGAGTTCTCTTCCGAATAGGATCCAGAGCCAAAATTTTTAGATAAGTCGAATGTACATGGAGGCAATAGGATCCTTCACAGCTGGTAGTACGCCACAAACGAGCCAACTGGTAATGTGCTGGCCCTTGAGCGACCCGGAAGGTGGTGGGCTAGGACTGGCAAGTGGGACGGGCGGCTGGTGGTCTACGACCTAGTCAAGGTGATGTGCCGCCAACTCTTTTCCCCAAACGCAGTCGGTGGCCCACCAACAATGTGCTGCTTGGGAAGGCGCAACAGAAGAGTGCAAATGGTGCAAAAGAATCCAATGAATCTCTGTTGGCCCAATGTGAAAGCATAAACTATTAAATATAATTTTTTTTTTTCAGATATCGAGTCAAGCAAACGAAAAAAAAAAGAAGAAATCTCTCTTCACGACTTGGCGAATGTGACAGCTTAACCTCGCGAGATTCATATGAAATCAGTCATATGAAAAGTTTCTTCGAAAAGGATAGCAAAAACTTGGTCCACCCTCTTCGCGACACTGTTTCAACCGGCAAGGAAGAGACCCTTCGACGTCTTTAGCGCTTCGGCGTCGGGGGAGGTGGCGCTTAACCATCCTCACAGGCGGCTAAATCGACCCCCTCCCCTGGATTTGCAAAATAGTTACTCGAATTAATAGTATATACAAATGCAAGGGGTGCCAGAAACCTCCAGAGAAATTTTCGGGGAAATCCCTCATACGCGACGGATTTAATCAAACTAGAGTATATATACATCAACCTCGCTAACATAGGCTGACGTGTATATGCGTCAACCGATGCTTAAGGGTTAAACCTTTCGGCTCCAACCGAGTGGAAATTGCAAGTTCTGAATTAAGAAATGGGACCCAAGCCTGGTGTCAGGCAGGACCGGAATCGCTACAAGTCGCCGTGCTGCGTCTGGCTCCTCCGTGAAAGGAAGGTCGGGGTGCGAAGGGAGACGTCGCTCTTGACAACTCCGTAACGGGAGAAGAACCAGTTAGATGATTTTTAAAATGTTAGTAAAGGTCCTGTTCCTGCAGAGAAAGTTAAAGACCCAGATGGAGAAAATCGGGCAGCTCTCCCAACCGGTCCGAGAGAGACTCGGCAGAATGAAAGGAATGCTCATTCCACGCAGGCTCAATCACAAGAAAGGGCTTTCTTGGAACGTTCTGGTGCTGCTTGGGAACGCTTTTTTTGGGCGTTCAAGGAAAACGCATGATTTCAACTTTTTTAACGCTCTAAATTTTGAGCAATTTGGACGATCAATAGAACGTTGAGGAAATTCCTCGGAAATTCCTAAAACGAAAATATCTCACAGTCTGCTGTTCGTTTTCAGTACTTTTGCTTAACCCGAGCCTAAGGTACTTTTCGCACTCTCGGCAAAGAAAGAAATATATATATTTAAATTTAAAGTCAGATATAGTTGTTCCGGCTTATCTATGTTTTATGACTATTTTATTGAAAAAAATAAGACTTCTTTGAAACCTCTTTTCCCTTGAACCTCTGTTGAGGCCAATACGTCACGTTATAATATGCGTGAATATGTGAAACGCCCAGATGGGGTTCGCAATAAGCAACTTCTGTTCTCCGGATGTAGAGGAAGCAATTATGGAACAGGATCGCGCGAGGGTTAATGGACTTGGACTTTCATCTTTATGGTGACTTTTATTTAAAAATTGGTCTCAAAATGACTTTTTTTGCCTTCTCGACTTGCAAGAAATACTACGACGTATGATTTTTTTTTTTGGTTGAGGAATTTCGCGACGCAGGAAGGATTGATTTACAGCGCAACCTCCGTCGACCTAGAATCGAAATAAGCGTGTGGAAATACTTTCTTCTGTATATAGAATAAGGGTAAAAGTCGTAAAGGAGAGAAGGGATGCGCAGCACGTGAGAAGGGATGAGAAGGACCCTGAGACGTCGAAGGAGGGATTCCCCTAGCCTAACCTCCATGTATGGCTGGATGGCTAACGGGAGGACCGGTCCGCGACTTCACTGGAAGTGACGCGGGGATGACGAAAGCCGTTTTTTGTTCGGGGGGGATGTCAACACCCTCCGTCTTCCTCCTTTTCTGGATGCCACGATATAAGGAGACTTTCCTTCATTTCTGAGACCCTACTCTCTTGCTACGTGGCATCTGACGCGTTGAATCGGCTCTTGGCGATGAGGCTATTCGTACTGGTGAGTTGACTGTTTCGATCTCGCTGACATTCGCTGCGGTAGTGACGATTTGAGGTCGGCATTCCCAGTCAATAACGCACTGCTCGCTTTCATTTTTTGTGCGTTTCTCTGTTCCAAGGATGAACCCATACTTTTTTCTGTCAATATTTTTCAAAAGATAGAGAATTATTATTTATCACTACTGGCTAGGTCATGCGATACAGTTTGGGACGGTAAAATATCCCTCCATCTCGAAGTGCATGAATGAAGTGAGTCACAAAATTCCGAAGGGAATTCAGAAGACTCGCAGAACCTAAAAATCTCCAGTGAATTGTTAGTTGATTTTTTAAATTTTCATTAGGATCTGGATCTTGCGAAGCTTGTGTGCACACAAACAATTCCATATATATATATATATACCTAGGTATAGTGAAAAGGAAATACCAATGATGCCTGTCCCACCCAAACCAATCGAGGCGATGGGGGAATGAACCCAGCTACTAGTAATCAAACTGAAAGGAACACAGAGTTGAAATTATGAGACATGGAGAGGAGAGTTAGGAGAAACAAACATGCTGCCTGATCGGCTCAAAAGCCACCCATTCCCCTCTCCCAGAGACCGTACCAAGTAATTTCTGTAGCCAGATAAATACCTTGAGCTGCTGATTGCAAAGTAAGAACTTTGACCAGGACAGAAAACAGGTGTTATAATGTTGAGTCCTATGTTTAATAAAGAACGGCTTTTTAAAGCGATTTTAAGCGATATACCTAGGTATATATATAGAGAGAGAGAGTAAGAGAAGTTATTTGTTGCCGAAATTGTGCGAAACTACCCAAAGGCAACAGAAAATGCACAACCTTTGGACCCATAAGCGCGGAACTTAGAGTCGAAAAGGGGAATGACTAGAACAATTGGAAGAGAGAGTGAGAAATCTCTAATCCTACTTGCTTCACAAGAGTCTCAAGCCATCACATTAACTCCCACCCACGAAATAGTCCCAAATCAAAAGCTGACACCAGATTAAACTTCAATAGCCGTGTATACCATAAGCTGCTGAATGCAAAGCGAACCTTTGCCGATAACAGACAGCTGGTGTTATAGTAATGAACAGTGGCGGCTCGCGATATTTGGCGCTAGTGGTTCGTCTATGGAGAGGGGGTAGGCAGCGACCTCCTCTGCCTACCCCCTCTCCATAGACGAACCACTAGCACTAAATATCACGAGCCGCCTCTGGTAATGAACTTAATATTAAAGAAAGATATTGGTTAAATAGGCAATTACGTGGCTGGGCAGTAAACTGCCCCCAACCAAGGTGCACAGAGCCCTTGGTTGGGGGCAATTTTTCTGCCTGACATTTCACAATAGTTTCGAGATCTCTGTCAGGGTGCTCGCGTGGGTGGTGGGCTGTGGCTGATCAAGGACCCATGGTCAGTGAATGTCCATCTTATTATATTCGGCTTGGAAGGGGGCAATGTAAACGCATTGCCCTTTCAGTCACTTCTGCAAGTGTGCCAATTTTTCCTGGCAATTTATATAAAATAAATCCTTCCACGGCACCTGCCGGTATTGGAGATATTCGGGGGGATGAACCACATCCCAGACCTCATACTCGTCTAATTCTGAAGGACACGGCGAAGGATGCTGGCCGTGCCCAAGATTGCTGTACGTTGGAGGATATCGAGTGAGATTTCACACTCCAGCTAGTGGGAGATAAACATTGTTTACAAGGACAAGCCAGCAGATCTGAACAACTTAAAGGATAATATCTTTAGTGCTGTTTGCCAGATGAGTGAAGGAATTCTCGCAGATTTTTCCGACAATGCAATTGCTTCAGTTCAGAAATGTTTGGAATTCGGCGGTCGACACATTCGCATTTGACAAAAATTGATTCGTTTCTCTGGACGGGAGAAATTTTGTCTTTACTCGACATACAAACGTATGTCGAGTAAATTCTTTATTGCTGTGATTTTGAATTCCCAAAATACTCCATTATTTGATCAATACCATGGTGATTACCAGAAGCTGTGCAATAAGGTCACAATGACAAAGTTTTATTTGAGTTGTAGTCTCAATTTCTTTTCCATTCAACAATATAATAAAAAATCCTCAAAGCCAGATCTGGGAAATAAACGCTCGACAATTCAAAGTGGAAGAGGGAAAGACCTGACACTATTCAGAGGTTGGTACGCTGTCAACTAACATTTAAAAATTGCCTATGCTATTTGCCTTGCTATTTCAGTGTTTCATAATATTTCGCTCGTAGGTTGTAGATAAGTCACTTTATGGACATCCTGTACTTGGACGACAAGGGTTAAAATTTGGGAATATCAATTAGGGAAAAATCTAGTTGTGCAGACAAACTGCGGATTGTTTACAACTTCGTGTTTTAGCATATAAGCGCTCGACTAATTCAAATTGCCTCTACAGTTGCTTTCTTAGTCGGCCACACACGAGAAACCATTTTCGCTAAGCTGGTTTTGGGAAGCCAGTTTCACAATATTTTCGCAGTGTGTGCCGAAATACTAGTTGCGAAATCAATTTCTCAGTTTTGTGAAACCAATAAGTTGCTCAACTTTTCTATTTTTCACTCAGTTTCTGAGAAACTGAAGATGACATGAAAGGAGAACGTGCATTGCGTCGGGACGTATTCGAGAGAGTTTGTAGAGATTCGAGAGAGTTTTTGATCATGAAAAGTATCAAAATGAGGTTATCAGGCCACAAAAACTGGATGGAATTAAAACTATTCTGGACATCAGTCGAAGTGAGATGGAAAAGAAATGGCACTTTCTGAGGGTTTAATCTATGAAGGAGCGGAGAAAGGTGGAAGCCTCAAAGAAGTCAGGCACATGTAGATGCCAAAAATTATATGAAAGTATTTCTCCAATAGCTTGACTTGAAATGCCCCAGGGATATCCGAACTCGTAAGATTCTCCTATGAAAGAAGAAAAAATATTCATTCGGTCAATCAATCCTACATAGTGACTTACCGGTAGCCAGAAACCTCAATGTCACAGACAAGGGAATAGGTATAGGCATTCTCATGATTGAATCTTGTTCGCTGACTGCTGACTTGACCGTATCCAGCAGCTCTTCAGAGCATTGTGGACTCATCCACAGAAAATTATTAAAGGACTCTGGGTCCTCTGATAGTAGGTCTCGAATTAATTACTCATAACTAGGGCTGTCACGATAGATCGATGCATCGATACCACTATAGTTTTTCCGACCTTCGCGATGCATCGGCAAAAGATTTTAACGGGGAAATATCCCATTGGATTGAGACGAGTACAATACAATACAGTCCGTCCGTGCGGGGAAAGGAAGAGGCGGTTCGCAGTTTCTTATCACGATCAAATTCTGGAAATAAATGCTGGGACTGACTATATTAAAGGAAAAAAAAAATCCGGTTGGATCGGAGACGGGAAGTGGGAAAGGAGAGGGAAGTTAGACCGATAATTTTTTTTTCACTTCTGTTTCTGTCTTCAGCTTGATCTCATCAGGTGCATGCTGCGAAAGTGAATTGTTCTTATACTCCCTTCGTTTTGAAACGTACATTGGTAAATCCTCCTCTCTATATTTCTGTCTTTCTCTTTAGTATGCTGGCCTAATTTTTTAAACTTTAACTTGCCCTGGGCATTTTTTCTCTTTACTTAAGGTGAACTCAAAGGGATTTTTTACATGGACGTTGCTTATTCTAGGGCTGTAGGTATGTTTTGGCAACCGTCGGTCTGTCCTGATGCATCCATCGATAAATGGATGTCAACTTCGATAGTTGGAGGCATGGTAGGTTTCAATACTCGTTGCGAAGGTCACACCTTCCCCCAGCACCCCCCGATCACAAGCGTGAGATTATGGAAGACGAATAGAGGTCCGCACTCCGATCGAGGCAAGAAACGATGGAAGTCAAACTTACGCCCGATCGCGGCGAGAAAAGATTGAGGGTGGATTTTTGAACAGAGCATTATCCGATAATGCAGCTTTACTTGGGAGAAAGTACATTAAAAATCCGGTAAATAAAGCTGCATTAACGGATAGTGCTCTGTTCAAAAATTCACTGAATCCTCCGGCCCCCCCCCCATCCGATGCATCGATGTTTTGAAAACTGCTATCGTGACAACCTTACTCATAACCATGACTACATCGTGCACATCTCCAATGTTTCATCAGACTTCCTTTTCTTTTACGGCTTGCTTGAGCAATTATGATTTTTGCTAAAAAAAAAAAAAATACAAATCACCTCGTCCAGGCATGGCAAGAAACTGGGAAAACTGAACCTCACGTGTGTGAGGATTGAACTTCAGAAACTGGTTTCATTGAAACTATTTAGATCCATTTTCGCGAAACTGGTTTACTGCCTTTAGTCTAGTAATCTGGTACCTTTAGCCCTGGTACATTATTCCTTCCCAAACCTTGATACCTTGAATCTGGTACATTTGGATGAAGACCACTGTTCTAAACCAAGCCTACATCTTTCTCAGAGTACGGATATTGGAGGGGGGGGGGGGGGGCTTGCAACATGATTTTCAATAATTTAACTATTTATGGGGATGGGACAGTCAATTGACCATTATTGACTGCTCTTTTTTTTTATTCAGTTAATTAATGAATTTTTTTTATCAAGCTCAAAACTGGTAATTTATCCTCCAACATTAAAATCAAAGAGCCTGTTCCATTTTAAAGTTATATTCATGCAGCCTGTCTAACATCTGGACCTGTTGAGCACCTGGCACCTGTTGAGCCTGAAAATATTATAGCAAATGCTCAAACTACCATGACCTCTCACCTGAGTGGTGTAGAATGTGTTTCAGACATAGCCTGCTGTTCAAGGTCTTCCAGCCTTAATGTCTATGAAAGTTAAGGTTCAAGATCTAAGTTACAGCTTTAGAACGTCAGTTTAATGGAAGGTCTATCATGGTCTTGGCCATTAGTCTGCATCATAGTATCACATCATCAAATCATTATCAGTCTGTGATCAAGGGACAAGTACTTGCAGGGGTTGTGCTAAGATTCTTGCCCTGGCCTCCTGCCCATGCATCCCGGGGGTCCCGGGACCCCCAGGATGCACAGGCAGAAGGCCTAAGACTGCTGGATCGAACACGGAATACTGCTTGGTTATGTTAAGTTGACAAATACACATGGATTGCTGGACTTTAGCTTTTGGGAAACCCTTCAAGTTTCTCTTGTGCTTCACTTGGAAAGTAACCCCCTTAATTATCAGGGAACCCTTCCAATCAGACTTGAGGGACCCGGGGACCCCAATCGCAAGGAACCCAGCACAACCCCTGACTTGGATTATGCCTAGGCCAAAGCATAAAAAAATTGATATGGCAATGAAGAACTTCCTTGAGCAAGGCAGAGGCTCCTTTTTCTGGCAGGAACAGGAATGAATGCTATTACCTGAAACCTTGAAATTCCAGTTCTAGACATTATGTGTTACATTTCTCATAATTCAGAGTACTTATGGGCTACCAATTCACAAAATTTACCTCTGAAACATGACTGATTACTGTTTAATGTTCCAACTCATGCAATCTATATAGTAAAGTCTGTCTTAGCAATGAAATGTTGACTGGTCAACATGATCATTTATGATCATATACCTTCATAAGGCCTAACCTCTTGTTGGGCAGGTTGACCATTATTGTCCATGAATGGTCAGAAGTGACCATGTTGACCAGTCAACTTACCATACCTAGTCTATTATTTGTGAGTCATGACATACAAATTGAGCTCTAACTGCAGGAAAAAAATTAATGAAATAAAAGTTGGCCTCATTGACTATAATTGACCGTAGTTGACAATATTGGCCAGTCAATTGACATGCTTTTAATTGACTGTTCAATAACCCATCCCTACCTATTTAGAAAGATTTTTGCATTGGTTGGAGACTGGGACTTAAGAAGCAAGATTAAATCTCTTGCTTGACTATAAGTTGAGGAGTATTGGAACTAACCTGTCAGTTTTCATATAGTAGACTTTTGCATACTTCTAGATACTTAAATGTGTCTGTGGGTAGTCCAGACATTGAAGAAGGATTCAACATAAACAAGGGGACGTGTCCACATGAATGTCGACTACGAGATATCACCTATTCTGCTCCTATCACAGTTGACATCGAATACACCAGGGGTCAGCAACGAGTAGTGCGAAATAATCTCCCAATTGGCAGGTGAGCTGTATTTTCACTTCTAAGTGACTTATGATGCTCAAGTTTAGGTAAATATGGGATGAGGTTTATTGATGGCTCTTTCAAAAAGTGAATATAATCTTAGTCAACTGGTACATTTTGGATTGTCAATGTTCAGCTGGATCTGCTTAGTCAACTCTTCATTTCATTCAAGAAAGAAATGTTCCTCAGAATTTTTGATAAGAACATGTCAATATAATTTGGAAAAAACTGATTGAGAAAAGTTTTTTGCCTGAAAATTCCAACTGTGTGGTAGAAAAGAGAAACTGTAGGATCCATTGAGAAAATCCAATGAGTTTCATCTCCCTAGGTGGAGTACTTTTGAGGCACAGTAATTTGAAAATTGCCAAAAATGTGCCAATTTCTGATCCTGTGATCTGAATTGCCTATCAGCTTTGTCCTATTTAACTTAAAATTATGAAATTGGTGTCATTCCTGAGCTCTTTTAATGCCCTTTTGCATATGTGTTTCATAAAGATTGAATGAAACGAAGATCGAAGTTCAAAAGGTCTGACCTTTGACTGCTAATTATGGAAAAAATATCATTTTTCCCCCCTTAAAAATGGATATTTGCAATTTGTTCTCTATTGTAGTATGAAATTTCAAGTTGAGACTATAATGAAATCAATAGATGAAAAATAATGTGACAGTAACTAAAAGTCTTCAGAAAATGTACTATAAAAATCTGAATGCATTCAGTTTGTATCTTTACAGGTTACATTTTCAGGTGATAGTAAGAGAAGATTATTCTAGGTGTGGAGGAAAATACACGCTGTTTGAATTTGTATATCAGGAAATCAGTCTTTGCTGCAATAAAGTATCTTCCGGGATATATGCATCTGTCTTGTCTTTCATGTAACAATTTTTCAGAATCTTACTATGTCTGGTTTAGCTACAGAAGCATTTTGGAAGTTGTGGTAAAAAATGTTGATAATCCCCTCTCATTGTTAGCCTCACGGAAGAGAAGCCAGTATACTTCATCGTTTTTGCTCCAATTTATCCATTGCCTCAGTTGTGATTATGCAGTTGTCTCAAGCAGACAGCATTATTGAAGCATGTTTTGTGGATGAAAGTATGAACTAATTTAATTGAAAGGACTATTCTTCTGTGAAAACAGCAGCAGAATGCTGTCATCCAGGCACAAGACTGTCCCATCATTAATTCATTTGTGAGTATCCTGGGATGGGGATTTCCACATGTTTTTCGAGTGAGGTAAGCCGAAGGCTTACTGAACGAAGGTTCAACATATAACACCTGCGAAAAAAGGCATTGACTACCACAGAAAATTGCACTTAGTTGTATGTTTTTGTGTCTGTTAGTGTGTTAGAGCTCAATAATCCAAATTGTTGAATATAGAGCGCTGAAGTTGTTTACACTGGTTCCTTAGCATCCAAGGTTGTGCCCTTCTCATAGGACAAAACTTGATCCAACGTACCGTTTTTCTTATTTCCGCGATAAACACAAATTTTGCAATGGGAGAAGAAATTAGCCCATCATGGCGTCTGACGTCATGGATGCCGTTGAATAGACATCGACTAGGAAAATAAAGATGTCCATGGGCTCTATCCGATCGGTGCCCACGGTCAAGAGTTATGGCTAAAAGAATGGGTGATTGAGCTTCTGTCCTGCCATCTGGCATTTACTCGTATAAACTAGGTTTCCACAAGAGAATAGTGATGACGAATGAGTCGTCGTCTTTGAGTCATCTCAGGTGAGTGCTTCAACTACTCGAGTAAAATTCCACACGAGCTTCGTGGAGATAATAATTTTTTAGAATGTGCTCTCCTCGTGGAGGTGGTTTTTCGCCTGAAACGTCGTCAATCGTATTTTCTTCCTTAGCAGATCTTTCGGCCTATAAAGTCCGCGGTACTACGATGTAGGCACCTGTAATGTACATGGTTGCGAAATCTTGTGGTTCGGTTTGGAATATGGACGATGAGTTTATTGTAATCAATGTCGTTGACATTATTGCACAAATACTTTTCTTTAAACATATTTAAGTTCCCAAAGTTTCTGTTTTGAGATCGCGGACCAGTTTCAGGAATTTCACCAAAGGTTTAACTGTACTAATATGTGGCGATTGCATTAAAACTGAAAATTTATGTTTGTTGGGATGATCACGGTAATACCGTGGTATTAGAGAGTTTCTGTATGACGAGTATACCGTACAGGGCAGACCTGCAGGAAGTGAAATTCGTATTATATCTCTCCGTGGTTGCACAGTGTGCACAGTCTGTCATGGTAATCTATATCTTCATATCTACCTTGTTGTTCTCTCAGTCCAAACATCCTTTCGCGAAAATTGCTAAGGATAACGGTGTCGTAGAGTGACGATATATCCGAATATTTTTCTTTGTTTAGAATGGTTTTAAAAATTCTGTAGGAGCGGAATCTATCATGGAAATACAGCTCTTCGCCCCATGCCTGAGAATGTCGCGTGCCCGTTGTCCGAACATGCTAAAAAAAAAAAAGCCACGGGTGCATGGAATTGCCTGGGCATACCACACTTCACCAAAGCCATACAAACACAATAATCTCTGAATGTTTCCTGTCCAGCAAGTGGTGTCTCATTCACGCCACCCTAGTTACCATATGTACGCCTTTTTTGCAAGTCTGGTATCTGGTTAAGCTCAACCAGTACTTGAGCGCCCGTATATGTTATTCGTAATTTAAGTTGCGCCGACCTAATTCTCCACGCGCGGTGTTGTTAGACATAGTGTTATGCACCCTCAATATCCATTTACGGAATTTGTTATGCAATATGTCACTTTCCCGCCTGTTTTCAAATGACCAAAATTCGGACCCATAGTTTGCCACAGGGAGGATTTTGGTGTCAAATACTTTCAACAGCATGTTTGAGGGGAGAGGACAGTATTTGATTAGGGTCGGTTTAATTAAACCCAGGGCCTGTTGGACAAGCGTTTTTTGGGCAATTCTCCACGAGACACAAAAGCTGAAGATCATGCCGAGATATTTATAGTATGGGACGACCTGAATTCGGTTACCGCCAAAAAACCATCTCTCATGCTGTGTAAAGACCACCCCGTCGGAAAACTATGATTTGAGCATTTTGCAAATTTGCATTTTGCAAGTTCTAGTCATCTATGTATTCTTTCAAATGATCAACTAGTTTTTGAAGGCGGAGGGGGGTGTCGCTGAAAATTACCAAGTCGTCTACGTACATAAGACACGACACTGGAAATATATTTAGCATGATAGATTCGGGGGCATTTTCTCTCAAGAAGGCGGGGAGGTCTTGGCCAAATAGATTGAACAGCAGAGGGGACAAAACACAACCCTGACGGATACCACTTGAACACTTGAAGTAGTCGCTACCGTCGGTTTCCACTGAGGCTCTCACTTCATTGTAGATACTCTGTAACATGCACAGCATCTTCGTGCTCGGCTCAAGTTTACTCCATAACAATTGACGGTCCACCTTGTCTTTCCGGGTCCACAAAAAAGGCGTAGAAACGACCTTTTCGCTGGTTCAGGTCGTGCTACGAGTGTCTGAAGCGTGAAGATATTGTCCATGGTGCAATAATGGCGACAAAAGCCTCCTTGTTCTTCTGGGATGAGTTCTCTTTGCCTAGCTCATTCTACTAGTCGCTTTTCTAGGAGACTTGTGAAGCCCTTGCTTAGCAGCGGCAGAGTAATGGCTCTGTAGTTCCCACCGTCAATTTCGTCTCCTTTCTTGTACAGGGGGTAAATGAGGCCAGTTCTCCAGGCAAGGGGGTATGACTGCAGTTGGTAGATTTGGTTGAATATGCTTGTGATGATGTGAAGTACTGCAGGGTTATTTATGGCTTCTTTTAGGAAACCTCCGTTGAAACCATCAGTCCCCGGTGCAGATCTTACTTTTAGACGTCGTATAGCATGTTTCACTTCATTTCAGACCATGTTCATCGTTTCGTCCCAATGGAAAAGAGGTATTTGGAAGAGTGTAGTTCCCGGTGATTCGTACAGGCTTTGAGAAGAATTTATGCCATTCCTCGGTTTGGATGGGGGGGGGGGGGGGGGTTCGAGCCTGACCATATTTTTAATTTTTCCCAATACTGGTGTATTCTTCTCTTTCAGCAAACTACCTGTGTCCTTAAATTGCTTCATCTATTGGTATGTTGAAACATGGACAAGAGGATCCTTGCTGTAAACAGTTATGAACTAGAGCTACACCTGTGTGACCATATTTTTAATTTTTCCCAATACTGGTGTTCTTCATGGTATTGAAGTGCACTCAGTAGGGAAGCTTTTTCCCTTGCCTTATGCTCTTTCTTCTTCGACCGAAGAAGAGATCTATAGCTTCGTCGAACCTCTCGCAGTTGTTTGAAGGCTTCGGGATCTTGTGTTACTCGAGTGGTATAGGTATCAGATATATTGCTGGATATACTAGCAAACTTTAAAGTGCTTCTTAAGCTAAACCGGCTGAAAAAAAAATTCTGAAAGTTGAAGAAAACATGTAGATGCATACCAGATGGGACGAACAGAGAGTTTTCAGTTTTTCAGAAATAAACATTCAAACAGTTGTGCCTTTTTACTCTGCACCCATTATTTAAGATTGAAAAATATATAGGCAGTGTATTTTTGAAGTATGTGATTTTTTACTTCTCCAAATCGCAGATTGTGTATTTCCATACTGCTCAAGTGTCTCTCTCCATCCCTCTTGAAACATCATGAGCAACTTCATTTGACTTGACCAAGACTTTTCCTTTGTCTTGTTTTATAGTTTTTCTAAGGAAATTCTCCATGTTTGCACAGGATGCCGATCATGCTCCGAAGTTCAAATTGTGTCCTCACTGGAAAGAGTCATGCAGAATTGGGGAAACTGAACGAGTGTCCATTTGACCCAGGTGGATATTTTGTTGTAAAGGGAACAGAGAAAGTGATTCTCATTCAGGAGCAGATGTCCAGGAATCGAATGATCGTGGAGGAAGAGAGAAATGGAGGAATAACTTGTCATGTCACTTCCTCGACTCACTTTCAGAAGTCCCGTACCAACATCATCATCAAGCAAAGGAAGTATTATTTGAAGCACAATGCTCTCTCTGATGACATGCCTGTGACAGTTATTTTCAAGGCCATGGGCATAGAGTGCGATCAGGAAATAGTTCAAATGATCGGGACTGAAGAGACCATCATGAATGCCTTTGCTCCATCTTTGGAAGAGTGTCACAAGGTAGAAATCTTCACACAGAGACAGGTAACACAGAGACACAAGACTTGCAATCCTAGTTTTGGAACTGATGAATTCTAATTTAAAAAATTCCAGTGGGATCCAGTCTTTTTGCAGACAAAATTAGAAAAATGCAAAAATCAAGAAAATTTTAAATCTCCTGCTGTGAAATAGTGCATTCTCCATTCATGCAAAAATAACGTGTCATCATGGTTAAATTTTCACAGAATCAACTTCATTACTTGTGAATTATTGGAAACAAAAGCAACACTAGTAATCTTCTCCTATCTGCCAATCAAAGGAGGAGGGACTCCCTCTCAATAGGTTTCTGCCTGCTTTTCTTCTCTGGATCCCAAAGTTCCAAGGGCTTCCATGGATCCACCCAGCTTTTCAGAACAATGTAGTAAAAGCATGTGAGGAAACAAAAAGTTTGGCATCTAGCTGTAGCCAGGAGATGCTAATTTCCAGCCCAATGCTATCTAAGGGTCACTCACCTTGGGGTATCTTGGACATGATTGGTCAAAAAAGATTTTGCTCTTGTTTGCAATATCAGGAATAATGGAAAAAGAAACTACTTGAAATAGCAACATAGTCATTCCAAATCTGCCAACTGTCACAGGTTATTTCACTTTATAAAAAGTGGCTCCTAAATTAACTCACATCTTTACTAGTTCTTTCTAGTGTTCACTTCGGAATGGCAAAATAGGTTTTTGCTTCATAAATCCTAAACTCTCTTGCAAATGCTGTTGAATCCATCCGCCATTTATTATTTATTGTATTTTTTTTTATTTTAAGCACCATCACCTCACATCTTGGGTCCTACTTCATTTTCTTTATGATGAACTGTACTTATTGTAGCAGTCATGGTTCATGTGTTTCAAAGCCCAATAACATAATATCTGAAAATATTTCTCTTTCGCAGGCATTGAAATATCTGGGAGGGAAAGTGAGACTTAAAAGATACTATGGTCCCGCTGGTCAACAGTCTCCTACAAAGACTGATCCTATTGAAGAAGCACGGGAGCTTCTTGCAACTTTAATTCTCGCTCATGTTCCAGTGGAGCATTACAATTTCCGTACAAAGGCAATGTATCTTGCACTCATGGTACGTCGTGTGATTCAAGCGCAAGGTGATCCTGATGCCATTGATGATCGGTAAGAACTCTGATTCATTTGCTTCTTATCTATACTTTTCCACTGTCAGCCTCACATTTCTGACATCCTTTATGCAGAGATTACTATGGGAATAAGCGCCTTGAGTTGGCTGGGTCTCTTTTGGCATTGCTTTTTGAAGATCTGTTTAAGAAATTCAACTGGGAATTGAAAAGCATTGCTGAAAAGAACATCCCCAAAGTGAAGGCTGCTCAGTTTGACATTCTCAAACACATGCGTCAAGATCAAATAACTTTTGGCTTGGAAAATGCCATATCTACCGTGAGTGTTTTTTCTTTGATAACTTATTTGCTTTGGTGCATGTTTTCTAATATACTAGTAGTGCTGTATTCACTCGTGTATAAGGCGCTTTTTTACTTACATATTTTCCTGCAGGCAATGAAGGAAATTTCCCTGGGTCGTACACTCGGGAAAAGTATTTTATTTCTCGATAATGAAAAAAATTCTTACATTTCAACGTACCTGTAACTCATTGGTCATTTATTGATACGGAAACAGTGTCTGCCGTCGTAATAGGGGGTGGGGGGAAATGAAAACGCGTAGAGAGAGAATGGCTGCGTCAATTCGCCCAGACTTCACTCGGTATTGGAATCAGTATTTGCATTTTCTGGCGGAGAAGGTTCATTGGGAGAGCACTCATCCACCTAGGTGGGGTCTTCCCAGAGATCATCTTCAGTTCCATCGTGTGAATTCGATATTTCACACATTTTTAAAGCTTTTTCTCGCTGTTCGAGCATGAACCATATTCCGCGTGTGTTGAATAAACTCGCACAATTGTGCTGGAGTTAGAGTCCGTTTCTTCTGTTTACCGGTTGGAGTTACATTGGTAATATTCTTCATTCTAAATTCATTTGGCATCAGACGTAAGTGCACTTTGAAAGGGCGATTCAAGCTCACGTCGAGTGGTTGGAACACGCTCGTTAGATATTAGACCTCCTGGGACTTAACACCGTCTCTGTCTTTTCCTCTCGCAGCTTTTCTTTCACCGGTTCCGTGGTATGTCCTCGAAAACTGTCAAGGACGAGGAGGCTTCACTATTCACCAATCGCTCGAACGAGAATGGCTCCTGGGCAATTCCCCCAGACAGTTCCTATCCAGTTAATCATGAGACTTTCAGTCATCCAACCTCTCAGCTGATATCGGACGTGAACCCCTTTAGGAAAGGACATGCTTACTCGGAAATTTCCTTTTGAAAATGACGAAGGAAGGAAGCTTTGTATCATCAACGAAATAACACCCTCCTTTTCCCCCACCGCTCGTTTTAATGCGGACCTCTTTCATCCTCTTGTCATTAAGGGTTCGATCATATGTCGTATCAAACCAGACTCCTGTCTCGTCAGCATTCCCGATTTGAGACATAAGATATCGATAGCGCTTCTTTTTGCTTATGATTCTATTTTGAAATTTTGAAATCTTCTACCCCATGTCTGGAAATTTTTGCGCCGCTGAGGTTTTCCAACGAAGGAAAAAGCTAGCTCGCTTCATAAGTCCATCCTCGTGAAGTCTCGGTGGGAAATCCCTTTTGCTCTTGCAATTGTACGAACTCGCGTCTGGATCACCTCTATTGTTGCACATAGACCGTCCTTTCTAAACCTAAAAGTCGACTGACAGTGTCAGAATGAAACGAAACGTTCACACAGTATGCTTTATCGAGGATTATATTACAGGAGCACGGGCTCACTCGACGTATTCGGCTACTCCCTTCTCGATTTTCGGGAATTATTCTTTTTTTTTCCCACGAAAGGCCCTGAGATTCTTTCGCGCCCCCTAAATTTCGCCTCCTTGATGTACTTCCCATGCAGCTTTTCCCGATATCGTACGGATGCCCGACTCCTTCGCTTCCTGAATCACTTTGATCTTCTCTCCTGCCATATAACTTCGCCGTACATTCCCCATTTTCACGGATAATGAAACAATTGTTATAGAGACTGATATGGTGAGACTGAAATGTAGCCCCCTGTCATTCAAAGTTCAGGACAGTGAATGGGGAATTAGGTTCGAATGACTGGTTTTTTTCCCTTCATCATTCCATCTTGCCCCTGAGACTTCTTGCTACGAAATATGGGGTGCATACACAGGAAATTTTATTATTTTTTATTACTTAAATCGAGACCCCAAAAGTGGGGATGGGTGACACGTGAATACACGGTGACACACTTTACTCCAGTATATACTGTATATTTTCGCTGGACAAAGGAACCAGTTGAGTTCATGCATCATAATCGAAACAACCTGTCGATTATTTTGAGCTTTCACATCAGGTGTTATGGAAAGTTGTTGACACTAATTTAAAAAGTGTGACATTGAGGAAATATAGACTACTTGATAAACCCTTTTGGGGACTGAATCAGTCGCAACAATAGCCTCTATTTGAGGGAAATATCTTTTATATGATTTTGCATGTGAATATTCATCGAATATTCATTTTGTTCTTTGTTGCTGAAGCTCATTGTTATGTTCTTTATTATTTTAAACAGCTCTGGAATTGCTTGATGAATCTTGCCCAACTTAAGTTTTCTAGAAGTATAAATTAAGTTCCAGTTGGACTGTTCATCATTCTTCCTAGTGAAATCTTTTGCACTAGCTAGGCATCTTACTATTATGCAAAGATTGCCTGATTACATTCATTGTGAATTGAAATTTTATTTGATTAAAGGAGGCACTATGTCCAAGTTCTTGTTCCAACTGTGAGCTCTCCCTTTCTATCCTCAGTCTCTGAATTTCACAACTTATTCCCCCTTTTTGACTAGGGAACCTAATTCTAGAACCGTAACCCTTGATTTAAGGGCTACCTTCTGAGTCAGTGGCAAAATTTGATTGGCAAATGGGTAATTTGATATGGTTGATGATTCTTTCCCTACAATTCTGACTTGCTGAATCTTTTGTCACCAGGGGAACTGGACCATCAAGCGCTTTAAGATGGAAAGGCTTGGAGTGACCCAAGTGTTGTCTCGGTTGTCCTACATTTCTGCCCTTGGAATGATGACTCGAGTGAATTCCCAATTTGAGAAGTCAAGGAAAGTCAGTGGACCCAGAAGTCTTCAGCCATCGCAGTGGGGAATGCTCTGCCCCTCTGACACTCCTGAAGGAGAGGTAATCCATGCCCTGTTCTGGATATCAAGTTAATGCTCCTCATGTGTGATGCTTTTCTTGTGAGAAGGTCCTATCTCATATCACATGTCCAGTTCTGCTAAGACTGAGTCCAAGGTCTAGAACAATGATGCCTATTCATCTTTAGATTCTGCTCCTTATCTGAACCCAATTTTTGACTCATGTCACAGCCATGAATCACAACTGTTCCAGTGTGAACTTATGCATATATTACATTTCCTGAGCAATTTAACACATTGAGGACTGCCTATGTAGATTTACACTGTGGGAGAACATTCATGTGTTCCCAGTCCCATAAATCAAAACTGATTCTGTGAACATTCTTGAGCATTTTGGTGCTTGAAACATGCATGTAAGTACAGTAGTTTGTAAATTATAGATTTTCTTGTAAAATAAAGTAAAATATAGATATTTTCTAAGTATGTCTGGTCCCCTGCAGTTTGAGAAGTGTCAGGTACCCAGTCCTCAATGTGTTATGTTAGAAGTAAGGGTTTGCTGATGTGATTCACTATTTAAATTGAATGAATGTTGAGCTCTATTTTTACAAAGCCAATGTATGCACCTCATGGCTCAAGGTTTGAGTAAGGGATCTCTAGGGAAACATATGCCTATTTTGAGGCCCTAGAAAACCTCAACTTTTTTTTTTGCCAGAAAACTGATTTAGTTGATTAATTAATTTTCACCTCTTGTCAGTCACCTTTCATGTTCCACCTCCAGGCCTGTGGGTTGGTGAAGAATTTGGCATTGATGACACATATCACTACAGGAGTGGAAGAAGCTCCTATTGTTAGACTTGCATCTAATATTGGTGTGGAGGACCTGAATCTTTTGAGTGGAGAAGAGCTGTCTAATCCACACATCTACCTTGTCTTCCTCAATGGTTTTATTTTCACAGACTTTGTATTATTGCTTATTATGGCTTTCTATTATGACTGGTTTTCCATATCTATGTATGTACTTCTGCAAAGGAAACATTCTGGGGGTTATCCGAAACTACAAGAAGTTGGTGAGAGTTTTTCGTTCCCTTCGACGAAATGGATACCTTTCTGGATTTGTATCCATCTACCCAATGCATAAGCATCGTTGCGTGTACATTTCCTCTGATGGAGGGCGCCTCTGTCGGTTAGAGCTTCACCCCACTTGTTTTCTTGTAACCCATTGTTATATACATGCAGTATATAATGTATGTCTGGGTCTCTTCTTTTGTGTGGAAGGCCATATATTATTGTGACCAAGGGGAAGTCAAAAGTGGAGAAGCATCACATCAGAGAATTAAGTCAGAACTTGAGGAATTTCCAAGATTTCCTTGATGATGGACTGGTCGAATATCTGGATGTCAATGAGGAGAACAATTCCAACATTGCTCTCTATGAGAAAGACATCACTCCCTCGACAACCCACTTGGAAATTGAACCATTCACACTTCTTGGGGTGTGTGCAGGGCTCATTCCTTATCCTCATCACAACCAGAGTCCCCGAAATACCTATCAGTGTGCTATGGGGAAACAGGCTATTGGTGAGTTTATATTATCTAAGAAGCTCCTAAGTGCCATTGAGACAATAGTTGGTAACTAACCTTCACAAAGAGTCACTTATCAACCCCAGGAACCAGCTTGAAGCTTCTTTGAGGAAAATTCCAGGAGAGGTAAAATTCAGGGTATTGTAAACTCTTCCAGGGACAATTGGATTGAATCAGAGGAATCGGATTGACACCCTGCTCTACAGTTTGGTCTACCCTCAGCGACCCATTGTGAAGACTCGCACAATAGAATTGATTCACTTTGAAGAACTCCCTGCTGGCCAGAATGCTGTTGTTGCTGTTATGAGTTACAGTGGCTATGATATTGAAGATGCCATTGTCCTAAACAAGGCTTCTGTTGACAGAGGTACATGAAAAATCTTTTGTAACTCTTAATTCCTGCCTCCTATTTTGCCCTTAATCCACTTAAGCTCTCCCAGGATATGGCAGGTGCTTGGTGTATCGAAATAGCAAGTGCACGCTGAAGCGGTATGCTAATCAGACTTATGACAGAGTTATGGGTCCACTTGTGGATTCTATCACTAGAAAGCCCATATACAAGCATGATGCATTGGATGCTGATGGAATTGCCTCCCCAGGACTCATGGTTGATAATAAGCAGGTCAGATCTTCCTCAAAGACTTTCCATCCCTGAGTACATCTCCTTTTTTCTTTCCCAAGTTTTGCATCGTTGCATAATTGAATTGGAGCTGCCTCTCTCTTAGGTTCTTGTGAATAAGTCAATGCCAGCTGTTACTAGCACTAATCCACTGAGTCCTACTCCAGGGACTTCCATTCAGCCAGACTACAGGGATGTCCCCATCTCGTGAGTTTTCTCTTTGCTTCACCAGGACTGGCTGTTTCCTTTGTATGATGATTGACATAAATCATACTGTGAATCTTAGGTATAAGGGTCCTGTCCCATCATACATAGAAAAAGTGATGATCTCTTCAAACAATGAAGATGCATTCCTCATCAAGGCACTTCTTCGTCAGACAAGACGACCAGAACTTGGAGATAAGTTCAGCTCTCGTCACGGTCAGAAGGGAGTCACTGGTATGTTGCAGCAATGATTACCCTTGTATGGGACTGCTGTTTTATTCCAATTTCTATCATTCCAATTTGCTGGTAATGAGAAAATGTATTTACTATGATTGAAATTGATGGGGCTGAGAGGGTTGAAGGTCTTCCCTTCCTTTGTGTTGTGTTTAAATATGTATATTTACCTTGATTACAATGAATGAACCTTTCCCCCCTAATATGGTGTTGCCTATATGGCTGATCTTTAAATAGAGTTACTACATTGGAACTAAAGCAAGCAGTTTTTATGTAACATAATTAGAGATCGACCGATACTGGATTTTACCGATTTTGCTAATTCCAATATTGGCCGGTATATGAAGCCAATACGATATTTGCCAATATTTCAGCATAAAACCATATTAAAGATTCATCAGCACCGCTTCATTTACTTCAAGTTTTCCCCAATGAAGAGTAACTTTTCAGCATTTTCCTGATCTCCCTTTCATGGAATATCTCATGAAATACTCCTGTAAGATGTACGCATACCAGCATGAAATCCTCCAAGAAGAATTATTGAGCATACCTTGGTTGTGATTCAGGAATTAGCTTCTTTATCCATCGTTCTCAACCAAAGGTCGTGAATTCTATCTTATTGAGGAAGAGCGCGTCGAGTGCCGACTCCCAGGTGGTAATTGGGCTCAGGTCGTAAAGGGGGCGAAGGTTAAGCGATCTCAGGAGGCAATTATATTAAGATCGAAAACAAGTTTCTCTGGTTGAGGGAGGTCAGCCTGGACGAAGGAACGGAGGGCGGGATGGGAACAGGTGTGAGGTCGGCAGGACAAGCTCAGGCCGTGTTGAAAGAGAGAGGGAAAACTCGGGCACCACTTTTTCTGCCTGCTGAACATGCAGTGCTGACTGTTGCAGTCCTACTGGTGATGGATCAGCAGCAGGTCTTGAACCTAGACCCACAACATCACCTATGGGGCCTTGCTTTCCACTTGGTTGGCTTGCAGGCTGCGTTTGAATTTCTGTATCTTCCTCCCTTCTTTCCTTTCATATTTCTCACTTTGGCAACTAATGATCTCAAGCTAACATTTACATGACAAAGAACAATTTCTTAGGATCTTTATCCACTTGAAAAAATTTACACAAATTTTGGTGTTGGGAGATCGCCATTCCGACTCGTCCACCCCTCCAGTCCAATTTTTTCCCGTTCACTTATTTGACACGAAGAACAGAACTGTGTCTGAGACACTCTAGAACTTGTTACTTAACGAATTGTATTGATTTTTTTTCCTGCACGTGAATCCGTTAAGCCTCTCAAAAGAAATTCGGAATGTAAATTAATGGGCTGATGATGCTCTGCGTGATCCGTCTCGACTGTGATGCGATAGATCCGTTCCCGTTGGGTTCCAATGCGAGTACTTTTCACGGCCGAGAACTGAAAAAAGGAAAAGGATGATGCAACGGGGGGAAAGGAAGGAAAGGTCATTAACTCGAGAAAGAGCGGGAAAAACCCCGGAGCCTTTTTTCTGGAGAGCAGTGGGTTACTGGATGTGGGTGAGGGACGGGTGCGCCGTTATCCTCCGGATTCCGCCAGAGAGGGATTTCGTCTCGATCTTGCCTCCACGGTGGCGAGCCGATGGATGACGTCACGCTGGGGGGGGGACCGAGTCACGCGTAAGTGCACCCCGTGCAACTATGGCAGACTCATGCGAGATGCGCATCGCGGTGTGTCGCGTCGGATTCCTTAATTATTCGCAGCCGGTTCCTTTCACTTCTCGTAACGTAGCTAGGCAGGATCAGTGCTGTTGTCGAGGGCGTGGGTTTTTCGTGCTCCATAGGACGCCGGCTTTTAGCAGGTGGCGAGGGGAGCCTGGTTGCAGTGGCGACGCTCAATTCTTAAATGCAACGAGAAAATCGAATCACGCACCCTAATCCTTTTCTCCCCTTAATCCTCCAGACAACACGCTCCGCCCCTGAAAACCTGTCTTCTCCCTCTTGCCCTGTTACTCATCCTTGGCCGCATTGCGGAGCGATCTTATCTGAATTACTCCCAGGTTTGGGAAAACTTACTTAAAATCAAGACTTGCAGTAGTGAATACGGCAGGGACTGCGGCATCACGTGCACGCGAAACTGGCGTATTCGCCTGATGTCTGGTGCGATTAGAAATGCGATGATGCCTTGGAGACGAATATGACGGTCGTAAATGCTTCATTTTTTTAATGCAAAAATTCCTCTCGCGACGAGAGGCCTCCTTGAGCGTGCCCCTGGCGAGCCGAGGTTCTGCGCTCAATGAACACGTCATCGTGCCTCCGTCGCTTCTCGTTCTCTTCCTCTTCTTCCTCTTCCTCTCCTCCTCTTTCCTTGCCTATCATTCCCCTTCGACCTTCCTTCGCTCACCTTAAACCTTCGCCTGATGCCTGGTAACAAGGAGGTATGGGGAGGGTGGGGGGGGGGGGGGGGCAACAAACTGCTTAAGAAGCACACGGGGCTACCTTCCTTCGCTCACCTTAAACCTTCGCCTGATGCCTGGTAACAAGGAGGTATGGGGAGGGTGGGGGGGGGGGGGGAGCAACAAACTGCTTAAGAAGCACACGGAGCTAGAACCACCCTTACTCCATGCTCATCATGCCATTCAGTAAGAAAGTGATAACGTGAGCTCATTTTAATATTTATTATATAATTTCTCGCCTTTTGGCAATATCTCGATGACAAGATTTATGCTCACTGTTTTTTAGCAGCTTTCTTGGCGTTTCTATGAACCAAAAATGCCCCCCCCCCCCCCCAACACCAACTATGCAGACTTCCCATGTTCTCGCATGAAGCCTTATGCTAATCTCCATTCTTTGTATTCATCCATTCAATACAATACAATCCTTTTTCTACCCTTACTAGTGACTCCAAGTCAAGCATTTCACCTTTGGGTACAAGTAACCTTTCATTGTATCATTGTATCAAACACAGAATCATGAATGGGATAAGTAGACATCACACATAAAGATTGGGTATATGATTACAGAATAATTATAGCCTCTTTGGGGCTATAGTTATGTTATTTTTGGGGTTATAGTTATTCTGTAATTATATTATTCTGTAGGAGGCCATCATGTTGGGATGGCATCCTATTGTTATTCAGTGTTCCATGATGATTTTTATTACATAGGAGTGAAAACTCATCCCAAGATCACTGCTGAACTGAATGGAATGCTATGGCTAGTTCTTGACATATTATGGAAAAATGAAATTGATTAGTATATGAAACTATTCTTTTCAGCAGAGTGCAGATTTGAGGAGAATTTGGCAGATTGCCATTTCCGTTATGAAGGAAGGGAGGTCAACGTGAAAGCTGTCATAAGTGAAGACATGGATCCAGTGGTGACTTTCTATCTAAATGTGAGATCATGACCTTTTTTAGAAAGCAGCTAAGTGATACAGACAAGCATGAGACATGGTGCACTGTTTTCAGATTTAATTCTTTCACTCCCATAGAGCTCTTCAATCAATATGCTGCCAGTCTTCAGAAGCAGATCCTTTGTAATGCTTTCTCCCTTCTTCAATCCTTAGTGGGGTAGGGTGTATGAATTCAGTCTGAAAAGTGTGTAAATAGATGCATTTGGTTTGCTAAGAGAATCAGTCTGGTTAATGATCAACTTAAAAATTAATAGCAGATGCAGTACAGTAGACATTTCTTGAAGTCACAAGAATCCCAAGGAATTACCATAGGTGCAATGAAAATGTGATGTCCATTGGAATGGATGCTGGGTCTGAAAGGGTTAAAGATGGAAATCTCACAATAAGATGACACTAGAATGAAGAAGCTTATATCATAACTAGAGGGGAAGTTATTGCAGAAACTGTTTCACAATTCCAGTCTGTATGGGCGCTGGGAGCAAAAATTGTATCATTAAAGTGCATGTATCTGGAGATCTGACTGATATAAAAAATTGGTTGAAATTAGTTTCTTTAAATCAAATCCTCCATGTGTATTCTGATTTTAATCAAAATCCAAGGTGGTCAAGCTCTCTTGCTGGTCCATTTGGCATGGAATGACCCCATTGCTGCATATTGATTTGAAGAATTGTCAGACCTCCCTATCTGAGTAGCTATTGAGAAAATTACAAGGAATTTTCCAATGGGGTTGAGGGAGATACTTTCCCAGTCTGTAATGAGAGAGCTAGAAACAGACTAAAATATAGGGATAAGGACCATATCCATACAGAAATGAATTTTTGCTGCTACTTCTTCCATTTAATGAAATTTTGATAAAGTAGTGTGTAGTAGATTCTGAATTTTGTTGGTCATTACCTATAACTAGCCATATATTGTTGCCTTATACCCTTGCACCATTCTGATTGCAAAAAGCATTGCCTACTGCATCTCCAAATATGTCTTCTTTTTTTGTTTTTTTTTTGGGCTAGGTGGAAAGACATAAATCAACTTTATGAAAAGCCACAACACAAATGGTGTTCATAAGAGCTATATTGATGCTTGTCAGGCCTCAAAGTATGTAATGAAACTGAATTTTTTTCATATGGAAGGCACTCTACTGGCCCATGGAGAGTGTACAGGACACAAACTTACTTATACGTTTTCAATTCATGGATTGAATCTTTTGAGAGAGAACTCGCAAATATAGGAAATACTACTAGGTTAAAAAAGTTTCAAGACTTGGGTCACCATGATCGGTGTCTTCCACACCAAAATAAATTTTGCTGTGCATAGTTAGGGTTCCACACTATGTGCATATTAAGGGCACATGGGTTTAACCTCATGTGGCAATGACTGGGTTGCCCCCACATGAAACTCTTCAGCTGTCCGTTGGTGGTCTGCATTCACCTTGCGAAGATGTCACGTTTCAAAAAGCATGCTAATGTGACATTTTCCCAGAGACTGTGTAAAACAGCTGCAGAGACTTTTGGAATGCTGATACAGGCGTATGAGGAGTAAATAATCTCACGCCCTCGAATGTTTGAGTGGCATCGACGATTCTGAGAAGACCATGAATCCCTGGAACATGATGTTGGAGGTGTTCTCCAACCACAAGGGTATGGTCCAATTAAATATCACACTTTAAAAGGGGTAAGCCTATCTTATATGTGAATGCAATTCCTTGACACAGGATGTCATATTGCGGGATAGTGCCTGTGCATGTCCCTGCATGAACCTTGAACCTCTTTGGTGTTTGATCCAGCCTCTTAGGTATAACTAGATTAAAATTATTGTTGTCTAGGCTGATTGCAGAAGACTGTTAATTGTACATGTGCTTGGCTGAAAATATTGTTGCACATTTTGTGATGTAATGCTGCTAAATCTTGATTTCTTTTTGTAGGTTCCTTACTTTAATTTGAGCTCACCACCACTTAACTTCAGCTTATGTGAAGGTGAAGAAGTGGTCCCCATTCAGGGATCGATGTTTAGACTTCAAGTTAAAATTGGCACCTCCCTGTCCCAGGAAAACAGCAAGACTGTATTTATAACTGTGAGTCTTTTGTGTTTTTGTTCATCTCATCTCAGCTCATCTCTAGAAGCCTCCTATTGTAAATGGTTCATCTGAAGCAAAGGAGCTGATCTCATGGCTTTAAAGTTGAATGACATTTTCTTCAGAGGTTCCTGTTACTAACATTTTTTTCTAATTTTCCAGGCTATGTGGAATTTGTAAATATCCATGTTGCTTACTTAGACCTTTTGTCCTGTTTGTATTTTCTTGTAACAACTTCTTCGAAGTCATCAGTTTTTGCCTGCTCTGATATTGATGATCTGTTTTCACATATGGACTTCATTAGGAAGCAAAAATTTGTATGAGGAATGAGATGTAGGGGACCTTTATGAACATGGCAGGGTGCTGTCATTTGCATAAAGGTAAGGTGTAAGAGTTCTCTAACTTCAATGTAATCTATACTATAAATTTTACAGTGCTGAACAGGTGTTTGCAGGAATTTTTTTGGCATTTTTCTTTCCCACTTGTGACAAATTCACCTCTTGCACTGTGTAATGGACTAATTGTTCAGTCTCAGTGGTAATTTAGAAAAAGAATATTAAATAATTGACCTTTGAGAGCATTGCACTGAAATATCATTTTTGCTATCAGTGAACCTGCCAGAGTGTGCACTGCTGAGGTTTTAAGTGAATTGTACCTAAATCCTTGTAAATTGATTGATATATTTCCTATAATAATTCAACTGATTAATGTGCAAAGGTCATTCATGCAAGCAGCCGATTTTGCTAAAGAACTCATTCTAAGCAGAAAAACTCATCCATGAAAGTGGATTAATGTGGAGAAGTTATATAGTAAGTCATTAATGGAGGGTAAGAAATTGGATTCTTCCTGTTCTTACAGATGAAGCAACATAAGAAAATAAGAATGTGTCTTTGTTCATCAAATGAAGAATACCTTCAGGTTTGGGGTTTAGCAAAAGCCTCTTGGTTGAGAGTTGCTCTTCGCATGGACCAGTACAAATGAGACAAATTGTAGCAGTATTATTGTTCATACCCCATGAAAGGCTTGACTCTTGTGCTCAAGAATGAAATGCTTTTTTTTTGTGAATCTCCAGATTGAATAGAGCTAGAGAGTTCCTATCTCAGATTATAATAAGGATAATGACACTGACGAATAGTATGATGTAGATATGCATCAATTTTTTGTTGCTAAGATATTTTTCCCTTTTTTCTTTCCTCTGGGTGATATGCATCCATTGTTTACTTTCATAACTGACAGCACCTGCTGGTGATAGGTAAATTTGCATTACTAAAGTGAGGTATTCAAAATGGATGAAATCTTAATGAAAATGTTTATCGTTTGGACAGGTTTACTTGGCAGGAAAAATTGGGGAAGTGTGGCTTCCTCCAAACAAATTCCTTGATACAAATTTTTTGCTGAAGAAGGATCTAGGTCCTTGCCAGAAGTCCCAATCAGTGAGCTCAAGCCTGGAGTCTCGTCTGTCAGGCCTGGAGTCCCAATTAGCGAGCTCAAGACTGGAGTTCCAATCAGTGAGCTCAAGCCTGGAGTCTCGTCTGTCAGGCCTGGAGTCCCAATTAGCGAGCTCAAGACTGGAGTTCCAATCAGTGAGCTCAAGCCTGGAGTCCCAACTTTGGTGGAGCCATGTCATTGCAGGTATCTCGATATATGTGGGCCCCATCAAAAGTTCTAAGAAACTCAACAACTAGAAGGCCAATTAGGATGAAATTCTGTATGAACATACAAGGTCTGGCAATAAAGTTCCAGGACTGTTTTTTTCTGAGTCTGTCAATATCACACAAATTATTTTCATTCCATGGACTGACAGATTAGACTGTTGGGCAGTGATGTGTCAGCCCTCATCTGACTAGCATCTTGAATGAGAGTTTGACTGGCAGTGTAACAGCTCAGTGTGTAAGGCATCTGTGATATTCCCAGAGTGAAGCAATGCTTCATCACATTTTGTCTCAAACCGATCAATGCAGCTGCAGTAATCCATGAAACATTGCTGGAGTGTCTTGAAAAGTTCCTTGTATTACTCCAATGATTTTGAATGACCTTCAAGGCCTTCAGCAAGTAGTGAAGGCACTCAGATCCACCTCAACCCCAACCATTCACCCAAGGGATGCCTGAATCAGTCATTATTTTCAGTGTCATTTCTACTGGCTGAAAGCCTTGAAAACTATTTAAGATTCTTGGAGTATGACGAGACAACTTGTCAAGACACTTCTTGCAACATTTGATGGATTGCTGGAGCTGTATTCCCAGATTGAGACAAAATATGATGAAGCATTGCTTCACTCTTGGAAAACGACAGACACCTCACGCACTGAGTTGTTAAATTGCCAGTCAAATTATCATTCAAGATGCTAATTAGATGAGGACTGATACGACACTGCCCAACAGTCTAATCTATCAGTCCATGGAATGAAACATTTTTTGTAATATTGACAGACCCACAGAAAAATCGATCCTGGAATTTTATTGCCAGACCTCGTATATCAGTATTACATTAGAATAAGTGAGTAGTCATGAGTAATATTCACTGAGTAGTTTTCATGTAGTAGTAATTTTCAGTTTTCAGAAAGCTTGGAACTGTCAAGTTAGGATTTTCGACCTATGATTTTTCTATGACTCCAAGAGGGGCCTTAAGCTGAAACAATCACTCAGCAACTTTCAGGCAGCTTTTGGAGACCAAGCTCCCTCACATACAACTGTCTTTCATTGTTATTCTGAGTTCAAGCATGGAAGAATGAGCTTCAAGATGAGCCCTGCTCAGGATGGCCAGCATCACAGCTGTAGAGAAGCTAATCCAGGTGGATGCGTAGGTCACCTAAGAGACCTTGCAGGAGACCTTATGCATTGGATCAGCAATAGTTATCACCATTCTGCACAACCATGTTGGGTCAACAAGTGTTGTGCTTGCTGAGTCCCACACAACCTCTGAGGAGCAGAAGGAGACCATAATCTGCTTCTCAACGCTGAATGCATTTGAACTTGACAGGTGGACTCTCACTAGGGAACACCAAAACTCTGAAGACTGCTGCTTGGTCTCCAGGTCAAACTGGTAGATCCAAGTTTCATCACCATTTATCAGGTACCACACTTTCTTGGACCTGCCTCCATTGAACTTATGGTGCATGAATTTGCTACAATGCACACATGCCTCCCTTTGCTCCTTAGAGAGATTGTGGGGGACCCAGTGAGCACAACACTTGTTGACCCCAATGTGGTTGTGCAGAATGGTGATAACTGCTGCTGATCCAATGCATAAGGTCTCCTGCAAGGTCTCTTAGGTGACTTGGGCATCCACCTGGATTAGCTTCTCTACAGCTGTGATGTTGGCCATTCTGAGCAGGGCTCATCTTGAAGCTCATTCTTCCACGCTTGAACTCGGAATACCAATGAAAGACAGTTGTATGTGAGGGAGCTTGGTCTCCAAAAGCTCCCTGTAAGTTGGTGAGTGATTGTTCCAGCTTAAGGCCCCTCTTGGAGGCCCATCATAGGTCGAAAATCCTAACTTGACTGTTCCAAGCTTTCTGAAAACTGAAAATTACTACTACATGAAAACTACTTAGTGTGAATATTACTCAAACTTCTCATTTATTCTAGAGTAATATTGATATATGTTCATACAGAATTTCATCCTAATTGGCCTTCTGGTTGTCGAGTATCTCAGAACTTTTGGTGGGGCCCACATATTGGGTGAAAGCAGGAATCTTGTATTGTGGGATGAAGGTTTCTAATTTGTTTCAATCAACCCAGCCAGTTTGGATAACATCTTTTTTTTCTGATTCCCCCATCTAGCATATAAGATGGTGCAAAACCTTAACTCTTTTTTGCTGTGGCTGTTGAGCTTTTGCACCATCATACTTCATTCCTGCAGGGAAGAGAAGACAGGGAATTTTAAATGCCATAGCAAAAGAGTTAATCTTCTTTTCCACAGCAAAGACGAAATTTGTGCAAAGCTGAATATTCACTCATTATTGTCCTGAGAAGACCCAAGATGAGTTATCAAGGGGCCCCAAATGGCCTCAAAGGGCCTCTGGTTTAGTTTTGCCCTGGGCCTTTGAAAACATCTGGGACAGCCCTGCTGAGAAGTGCTTCATGTTCTTTTGTTTGTGCTTTCTGATTTGAGTTATTAGGTTTGAAGTTAGACCATGTTTAGAAATTTAAGTTCTTATGGGTAATAAGCTGTGGGTTCTCCAGCTTCATGCATTTGCTGCATTGATTTATTTACAGGAATTCTTATGGTTCTGGCCCTGTTCCTTTTCATCTGCTTCATTTCCATCCTTTACTGTGGGCAAAAGAAGACCATGGATACTCTGAGAACACCTATTTTCAGGAATGTTGAACCAAATGAGGTTAGACAAACATTTGTACTCAGGCTCATTTATCTAACTTCTAAATTCATAAAGGAAGTTTTCATATAAAATAACAGAATAATTATTCACTTTAGTGGGTTAATATATTTTCAGCAAGAGGTGAAAGTCAAAATGTAATTGCTCAAATGCTTGTCTTGATATGCCAGTGGAAATTTTTTGTTTCATTGCTAGAGATACCTGTGGTGCCAGCTTGAATGTTTATACCATGACTCACATATATTAAAAGAAATTTTTGTGAAGATTGTGGCAATATTTACCCTTTCTTTTCACATACAGCATACTTTTGCATTCTCCCACTTATCATGCATACACTTGTATTTTCATTCCCTACATCACCCATAGTTTTTTTACTATATCTTCTGTGGCATTGCATACAGAGGAGGCTAAGTTGTGGCATGTGATTTACCCAATTAGGTTTTTCCTGGAACTTCCTCTGATAGTATATTCTCTCTGTAAGAAAAGGGAAAATAAGAAGGCTCATTTTGGACTTTCTTCATAAAATTGAATGTCTGTTGAAGGTTGCTAAGTTTTATTATTTGTGATTTTGACAGGAAACTATGACATTGGGATCTCTACTATCAAGGAATCAGCAATTGGACCCACCGACAGAGGTCACAATGGAGAATGGCAATGGTAGTACGAGACGAAGGTTAGTCTTGTCAGTTCAATTTCATACCCTCTTAGCTGGTGGGTCATTCCATCTCACATCAGTCAAAGGCCAGGCAGTGCCTCCCTCCAATATTAACAAAAAATTTTATGTGGCATGCCTCATGGCCCACAGTAAGTTTGCAAAATTTGTGCATGTGACAATGAACAATCATAATGACCACTCTGATAGTTCTAGTGTTGAACCAGTCATGCATCAAACAGACTATGCCTTTAGTCTCAACCCATCCAGCAAATGGTTACAAGATAAGTTCATAAACTGCCCAGTCATAATCCTAGGACAAAAACTAAGTTGCAGGAAAATTTTTTAAATCCTCAAAATGGGCAAAAAGACTGAAACCTCTTGAAGAGTCTGCATTTTCAAAAGAAAGCTGCACACCAGGAAAAGTTGTGTGGTTCTACAGGGTTTTCCAGGAAACACTGCAATTGCTGTGATACTGTGTATCACATGTATTGCATCATCAAAGACATGAATTTCCACTCGATACTTCATAAAATATTAGCACCATCCCCGGTTCAAATAATTTATTGTCTGTAATTTCTAGCTACAGTGAGGCCTCCTACGTCATGTCATGATTCTACTGCACAGTGACTTTTCGAACAGCCTGTAGTTGCCTTAAGGGAAATGCTCAGAGCTTAGCCACTAATGGGTAAACAAAAAGGTTGATAATTCATACCTACACCACACATCCGAATTTCCATCCTTTTCATGGATGTTGACAGAAAATTATGTGAGGGTTCTAGAGGCAAAGTAGACCTAGTATTATCAGAAATTTTACATTTTGTGCCTTTGCCAAGAATGCTAAAAAAATTGCCTGATGTACAAAAAATGTATAGATGTTTTGTTTCCCTTTTCAGGAATGGAGTCCACCCAAAGTAAGGCAAATCCCCGTGGTGTGTCTTTTTCTCCAGCCTCTAGCAGCTGCTGGCGAAAAAGACACATTGGCTTGGCATGACCACATCATTGAATGACATCACTATTAGGCAAGCAGCTGCAAGTGGAACATGGTGAACTATGAGAATGCTGAGCAGCTAAGCGTTAAAATGATGTCATCAAATGCTGGGAGCCTCAGCAGGGCTAGCTGAGCTGCTAGCAAAAAAAAGACTTGCCCCTGGTCTCACTGTGATGGACTCTGTTTTCTACTCCATCAATTTCATTGTGACATTTTCTGCCTATTTAATTTTTTAATGTGTGTGTTTTTTTATGTTTTGTTGAATTATTCCTTTGAAGTTTTGTGTCTCAGAACTGAGTAAATAACTTCTTGGAAGTGCAGATGGTTTCTGAAGTTGAAAATTAGGAATTTGCTTCCAGTTTTCCCACAATGGTGACATTTCCACAATCATGCTGAGAAGGAATTCATCTAGCACCAAGGATATGCATTTGGGTCTGTTGAGACTCTTATTTTTAAGCAATTGGCATATTAATTGCCATATCCCCAGTTTCTAATAGTGGAACTCAACAGAATTAAATGAGATTGTAGACATTGACCTTTTGTTGATCATAGCAATTCCATTTTCTTACAGCACTTCTGAGAGCCAAAAAAATTGTTGGGATTCTTGTGTCACAGGTTACACTTAACAATCTCTGGGAGCCAGTGTTCCAAAACAAATATCTGCTTTATTTGAGGAAAGATTTAGTCATCAGTTAACTCCCTTTTATGGCATGCATATAGGATGTCTCATGATATCTACGTGCCAGAATCTATCTTCGCATACTAATAAATGTGAAGAATTGCCCAGGACTTGTGTTACACAAAGTTGAACTGCAAAAGAATACTGTTTCTGAATTACGTTTTTGGCGTATCACACTCGAGTATGGCTTGCATGCAGTGTGGCATTATCAATCATTGCATTGCCCATCCATTCTTGGCATCAAATATAGGATATCCTATTATGACTATTTTGTCCCTTTGCATGTGGAATGACCCAAGTTAAAGTGAATGCCTTCTCTGCATTTTCATAATGTGTGGTTTCAGGTGCATTTACATATGCTGCTCCTTTTGCAATTACTGATATGTCTGGGGTAGTCACAGGAATATGCTACCACCAACCATTTGGGACAGGAGGCCAGATTTCACGTGAAAAAAGGAAGATATTGGGCCTTAACCCTCAACTGGTATTTGTTTTGTTTGTTTTCCCTTGTGTAACTGGTATCGTGGGATCAAATTGACCCCAGCAATAAAAGTTTTTTTATTATATTAATATTCATTTATCATGGCAGTTTCATGGCTTCCTTCCCTGCAGTGAAGCAACATGGTGGTGGCTTATTCCTAGGACTAACCCTGACGTATCGATTATTGCCACATGTAGGGGCATCATATGCAAATGTATCTGAAGCCGCACATTGTGAAAATGCAAGAAGGCATCCCCCATCACGGACATGGTATAACTTTTGTATCTGTCACATTGGACTTTCCTTATGTAGAACATGATTTTCACTAAAATCCAACTTCCACCGCAGCGACGCATCTGACCTTCCTTATGTCTTTGATACTCTGAAGCAGCTCAACGACACAATTGACTTTCAAATTTGACCTAGAAAACCTATGTAATCCCATACATATGGGATGTGCCGTAAGTCTGAAGACATCGGAATTTATTAAATTATGCACATTATGGCAAGAGCATGATTGAATACGCAATTTCCCAACCTGTGGATCGTTCGGCGAGCCCTAATGAATGGCCACCAAGGTCTCCAGACCTCACTTCCTAGGACTTTTTCCTCAGGGAGCACTTGAAATTCAATGGCGTATCCAGAGAAGAGTTGGACATCCTTCTTTTGAGGCAGCGCATCACGAAGCAGTGCCGCAATAGTTCACCGGCCAGTGGCGTAGGCAGGACATTGCCAGGAGGGGATGGTGGTTGAGGCCAGGTAGACACCCCAACCCTATGCCTAACTCCACTACCCGGAATTTACCTTTTCGAAGAAATTGTGATCTGGCATCTTGGGTCTGTGGATGGACATCAGACTTGCCTCGAGGACAGATAGCTAAAATTCCCAAGGAAGATAGAAATATGCCTGCTAGTGTCACTGGGAAGCCCAAGGGGGGGCAGAACCCCCTAATCTCCCCTCTTTCTTTCCCAATGCCAGTGACACCGGCAATTGACAGAAGTGTCCAGAAAGAGTGGATACAACGACTAAACATGTACATTGACAACCATGGGTGCGCTTCTCTCTTGGAGCAATTCCTTGACCGACAGCTGCTGAAATACCACTGCATCATTCATCAAGAGGCGCTATGTGGTAAGAGTTTCAACCTCAAGCATGTTATGGACGTGGTGGTGAAATGCGTGAACATTCCACGGTGTCTCGATGGTCGAAACGCTTGGAATCTGGCGACACGACCTTCGGAGATCGACCACGCTCAGGGCGTCCATCGACAGTCGATGACTGTGCCCTGCGGAACGCCCTCGACGCGAAGCCAAGTTACCCGTGCGTTGGGAACATGTCATAGACAACAATGGTCATTACATTGTAGACTCAAATTGCATTTCAATAAAGTTATAACATTTTGAAAAATTTGCGCAGAGTGTTGCAAGACTCTCTTTCCAACCCAATACAATGTCACACGATCACATCCACTGAGTCTCTCGACCACCATGTCCCGGTCCGGGGGAGGTCTCTTGGAAGCGGGATGTGGCCGGTACCCCTACCGGCCACATCCCACTTCCAAGAGACGTTCTAGCTCCTCCTCCACTCCTCGGTGAGGTCCGCCGCGAAGCCCACACGATATACGTCTCGTACATCTTGCCATTATTGCCAATACCGGCTAAATATTGGCTCAATATTAGCTTCCCAATATTGCCATTCCACCATCGATCCAATATCAGACTGACGCGATCATCCAATGTGCTCAATTTGCACGGAGGAGTTTTTTTGCGAAAATGTTGAAGTTCTCCTCTAGGCCACTAGATGGAAGTATGGGTCTCGCTTTTCGCACAGTACACAAAAGTACACTTCCCTCTTTCCATGGAATCATCCCTCACAGGAGTGTTTAGTACCTCACCATATGTTTTTCTTAGCCTCATTTTAACCATAAATAATATCGGACACTTAATCATTTATTATCCATATATCCGAGAAAGAGACATGGAGCCCAGGCAATAAACAAGCTCATACACATATGAGAAATCCTTGCATCCCGCTATCAGAAACGAAAGACCTTTATATCGTGTAGGGGTACTAACTTCAGGTCCTGGATAGTTGACTGATCATTCTCTCCCCAGTGAAGGAAAGGGAAGAGGACCTTATCATGGAAAATGCTGAAATTAGTTCAATTAGAACAATATGGAATCCATTGCCTTCGTTATTAACCAAATATCGGGTGCTACAACGGTGGGAGTGTGTTCAAAATTAACATGTATGCAACGCTGATTGAATGTAAGAATGTTTGCTTGGTAGTCACCGGGCGGGGCAGCCGCCGTCAGCAACAGCTTGAGGCGCTCATGCAGCTACTGCGAGCCTTGCTCCGTGAGCTCAGCTAGCCATTCAGAATTGCGAGATGGGTTGAAATAGTTTTCTCTTTCTTGGGTCGGACGGTGAAGTTCAGCTTGCGTTCGGATCTCCGATCGGGTGCGGCCAAACTCGGAAAAGAGGAAAGGTGCAGGGCTCTACTTCTTGCCTTGCCGCTGCCGCTCCTTCACGCTGCATCCTAGGAGTTCGTGTCTCACCTGTGCGTGTATTTGGTGTACGTGCCTGGTGAACCCGTCGCGATTCCTGAACCCTTCCAGACGTGAGCCGAAGGTGTCTTTAGATCGTCTTCATTTTTATCTATATCAGCGTGTCGCATCCTTTTGCATCCTGCATCCATCATTTAGCTCGCGGTCTGCTTATTGTCTGGTTCCAGCAGCTGAAGGGAAACGTCCCGATTCGTAACGCAAGCCACTGCCATTAAGAACATGGAACTGTAAAAAAAATATTACATTCGCAGATCACTTAGCGTCACTTAGGGATCGATACGGTCTAAATCTTTCTAGGCATACCTTCTAGGCATACCTAGGCAAGTTTTTTAAAATTATTATTGGACAGTGACACTAACGTTAGATGGCGCCCATATAAGGGGGGGGGGGGTTAACTATTATATAACATTAATGTTATACCAGGCATACGCGTGTCTTGTGCATAACCACAGTAGACTTTTTTGGATCGAAAGGACATCCTGATTTTATGTTGGCCATCGGACGTTGTGAATATTGAGGGGAGATGTTAGTGGAAGGCATTCATTTAGTGTAGGATAGAAGGGCCTTTTCTCACAGAAATTATGCCAAGATTTGGTGCGGAAAGGCCTCATGGCATCGAGAGAGCTAGGTAAGGGCTCGATATCGGCCTGCCCGGACCCGGTGTAGTGCCATATTCCTCCCTCGTCGAAAAATTTCCCTCCAGCCAATAGGAGATAGAGGGGGGGGGGACCTGACGTCACCCCACGTGAAACCCACCGTCAAAAATATTCCCTTACTCTTTTCCTTTTTCAATTATCAAATGTCTCTTCACAAGCCCTCGCCTATCACTTGCTCATGAAGTCAAATACTCACCAT